TCAACTAGGTTAGAAAACGCCCCCGGTTTTCTAGAGAAAGTTCTGCACCATGCGACCTCTGACGTCAGTGCAAGCTCTGCCATCCTTGCTAGCTCTGCCACGCTACAGACGTATGACCGTATGACCGTATGACACGCACCGAGCCAACATGATTACGAACAACTGTGCAAAAACTTTCTTCTTTGCAATTTTGTTAACTGGATTTACTGCAGCTACTACCATTTATCGCAGTCAAGGTGGGTTTTACTACATACAGTTCACAGATTCTTGTCCTTTCTTGCTTGCAGCAACGAACATAACAGGAATCCTAACTAAGCACGTTTCTTTGTAGTTTGATGACATTGATCGTTGAAGGGCCACAAATTTTTATTTCATAACACAATGTATTCAGACCTCCTAAAAACGAATCTGCTATTGTTTTTTCATATCTCTTACCGTTTTGTAGTTATAAGCGTTTGTAAATTGGTCATTGGGTTGAATTGTTTTTCAACCGTGTTATCGTCAGCTATCCCGAACAGGAGATGTCTCCCGTTCAGGAGAAATGTTCTCCTGTTCGGGAGAATTCAAATCGTTGGCAGCTCACATTTTTTCTCCCAATCGGGAGAATTTTTACTGTGTAATGTATGCATGTAGAATATTCTTAAATAGTGTGAATCACAAACAAAGTTACAAAAACTTGCTTTCATTTTTCAGTTTAATAAAGTTTCAGACAATAAACTGTCTGTGAGTTTATGCATTAGTTTTAGTAAAAAAATATAATATACGCGTAGTTGTTTGTAAAATGAAAATGGTTTAGCCAAAGCTCTGTCTTGTTAGTCATTCTAATTTTCGGAGCTGTCATGGTTTGCGTGACCCCAAAAACATGTCCAAGGTAAAGTAAAACATTAAATTGCCAGAATATAGACTTCACCTGATACTTTTCTTTCCTAGAATAATACCTATGACAATAGAGTATGACGTCATTAAAACTTCAAATGCAAATCCTGAATGATTTTCAACGGTGACCTACCACTTTTTTCATGGATATATATGTATTTGACTGTGTAGATTTCAAAAATGATGTTTAAAATTCCTGTCAGACGTTCTTTAGTGCATTTTTGTGCAAAAAAAATGATATTTTCTCCCAATCAGGAGAAAAATTAAGAGGATGATTTCTTCTCCCAATCGGGAGACATTTTATTGAGACTTCTCCCGATCGGGAGACAAATACTTATATCCCTAGCTGGACTTATTGGAAATAAACAAGGAGAATCGAGGACATGGGAGTATACAAACTTTCAAGATGAGACTAAACAACCAACATTAGTCATAGTTAAAAACTTATTTCAAAAATTATAAACTTGTTCATAAACAAAGAAAGAAACGTATTTGAGGTGATATTAATATTCGAACTTTTCCAATATACTTTTGTAAAGATATTTTTAGTATTTAATCTTTAAGCTTAGGCAGGGGCCTTGCCAGCTCCCTGCTTGAAGCTGTCGTGATTTTAACCTGCTATATTAATGGATAATGAATGCATGTTTGTATTATTGAATTGTATAAACGAACACAATCAGGCCAATGAACTTGCTAGCAAATTCATTCAGGTCCACTTGAAAAATGTTCTTACAAAAGTATCATGAAGCAATAATCTATTGCAAAATTGCTAGAAAATACTTATTACTGAAAAATTCAATATGTTGTTACTAGTTTGAAAGAATTAGTGGATTTGCAAACTACAAATACATAGATAGCAACCAAATTATCTATTAAATTATGGTAATTTTAAAAATAATCTTCTTTGTAAACATTTTAATACAAAAACAGTTGTCTTTTTTAACAATTTGTTGAGGTCTTTGTGGTAGCACTTGCAGGGGGAAATTGGGGCAAGTTATTACTTCTCCAAGGCCAGATTACAACCTTCTCCAACCTTTATCAAGAATTGCCCGGTTCTTTCTGCTGATCCATAAAAGAGTTTGTTATCTTTTGTTTGCCTAAAATAATAATTTTGACAGGGATAAATACTAACATACCAGTGAAATTTACTGTAGAGTCATATATCATAACATGCAATTATGAAAGAAATCATTACTTTGCACACTCAGGGACATTCAGAGTATGGATATTTAAAAGGGTCAAAAAGAAATTGAGAAAGGCAACCTCTGTTACTATAGCAAATATCATCTTAGGTTAATATTCATTTGAAGTGACACAAAGCTAAATTCAAATGATATAGACCATGCTTCTATGAATCAATGCTAGAATAACAAAAGGTGTATTTACAAATATAAACAATTCTGTTATTATGACACATCTGTTTCAAAAGCAAAGGAATGTGTAAATCCCACGTTTTAACTTTTGGGTTGTAGAAGACTTTTGCCCAGTGAAATTGGATATTGATTTGGCTAAATTTTGAAATTGTGCAATTAAGATAGATTAAAACAATAATACAATGAAATAGCCAGAACTCCAACACTGAAGGGGAAACATAGTAGAATATGAAGACAAAGTGTTCAGGAGACCACCCCTGAAAAAGTTTACACCTCTGGACCTTGGGCAAGGGTCTAGTGCACAGGTCATTGGCAGTGGTTTAGTGCTAGGGGGCTCAGGCCCTTTTGTTGATTTACAAATTTCTACTTTTTGTACTTTTCATAGTACCACACCTCTGACCATTGGGTGGGCAGTTCACGAGCCTTGCTGTTAGAAATCTTTTGTTTAGAGGGAAAAAAATTCTCAAAAGCCCAGCAAACTGTATGCATTTAAGAATAGGGGATTCGAATCACACCTCCCTAACCCCCTGCAAACCTCTACACCCTTTAGTGTCTCCAAATATTCAAAATGGTAAAACACTAACAGGAAAGATTCCATCTTGTGAATGAACAATTTGCTATCTTCTTTCCAATTTCGTAAGCTTGGGGTTCTACTTCTACTGGGATCAAGCTCAAGTCATCAATTATTTGTCAGCTTCTTGGAAATTCCTGAGATGACCAGAAAATAACAAATGCCTCCTGACAGTGACAGAAACCTTTTGGACGTTGAATCCATCCACTTTTCAGCGCTGGAAAGACAAGGATTTGCATTCAAGTAGAAGCATCCATGTTTGATTTGTGAAATAACTTGTCAATGTTGTCTGGAAACCTTCGCCTAACATCAATGTGTTCCTCGCGCATTACCAAAAATTACAGTCTGGTGAATATTTTAGGCTCTTCTCTTGATGTAACATGAGAAAGAAGTAATCATACACTGCAAAATATGTCGGATACGATTTCAGGATGTCTCGCTCCCTTTTCTATTTCTAAGATCATTCAACATCTTTTTGAATGGTTTAAAGAAACGCCCATCTTTCTTAAAACAGACGGCATCCAATTGGCCTTGACGGTGAGCTTTTCAAGGGAAGTATCAGATAAAATTGCAGAGGCAGGACAATTTTTCGAGGGCTGGAAGGGGAGATGGGATGTCCTGCCAAAAGGAGAGCGACAAACTGAATGGAGACACAACTGTTAGCTTGTAGGGGCCGTGGCAAATTGGGGATTTTCTCAACGGAGAAGGTTGTCGTCCGGTTTCTTACACAGAGGTATGCTGGAATAAAGAGCATTTGTTACCCGGAACCAGAACTGGGTTCCTGATACTGCGCAGCCGGTACGCCTTTTCTTGGTGGCATAGGAATCCCATGATTCTCTGTGCCACCAAGAAGGATTGTCCTAATCACCCTCCCTCCTCAAATATAAAACTGTTGCCTAAACCCCTTATCGATTTAGGTACTAGATAATCTATAGAATTTACAACAGAAAATTGCCCAACATGCTCAGTACAGTACCATTTCTCACTTTTAGCTCCAAAGAGCAAGTGTGGTGCAAATGGCACCGTCTAAAGTTGATATTTTCTTATTTGATTTTGAAGGAGAAATGATAGAACAAGAAATCCAACATTGATTCGAGGATAACGGGAGATTCAAATTTACAGGGTCAACGTAAAGTAGCAAATTGCAAAAATTGCATTGTGTTTCAACAATTTTGTCCAGGATTTCAGTTATTGTGCTTAACTAAAGCGATTAAAGAAATGAGGCTAGATCCGTTTAGTGACAAAACCGTTTAGTTTTTAGAATTGTATTATGATAGCATTGTTTCCATTTTCAGAGGTTATCATCGACGATGCTGATCATTCTCTTAGTAATATCGAGGACACCCACTTCCCGGAAGATAGAAGGCCAGCAAGCGGTTGCTTTTGCAAAAACAACGCCTGCAGCTGCTGTCAGCACATCTTTATCCCTTTCATCTTGCACACTACAGGTAAACACATTTAATTTTAATTCCATTGTATATTCTCTTGATATGACACAGTTAAATACTTTTTCAAAATGTTTTGAGTTTTTCGTCGCTGTTTAATATTGAGAGTTTGTGATATCATATAGTAAAAACCCGCGTATAAGAACCTACTTTTTTCAGAGTTTGGCAAATAATGACAGTTCAATATAACATACATTGTGCTCTTTGAGTTTTTATTTTAATAATTCAATATTCCGTCACCTTCTTTGTTTTTGGTAAAAAAGTATTAAATGGTGAAGCCCCACATATAAGAACCTGTTGGAAATTGTTTGGCTGAACAGATTCTTATATTTTGGAGTATCAAAATAGCAAATTTCTGCCAGAATGTTCTTAAAACCCTAGGTTCTTACACGCGGGTTTTTACTGTATTGCATATCACTTAGGGAATAAGTTGTGAAAAAACACAATCCAGGGAAACGAGGCTTGTCTTGAGCTCCAGTTGTTAATTTCGGATCATCAATGACTGAAATTTTACTATCATTCGCATATTCTTTTATTGACTTTTCTCTCTATTGATTCTAGTGTGTGTCAACGTCAGTTACAGCTTAGCAGATTTGGTAAAAACGTTTTGCTTAATCTTTTTTTTGTCTCACAAAATATTTATAGGACTTAGTAATCAGTTATTCAAGCTTTCAACTTTCTTTTGTAGTTGGTACATGTTTATCCTGTTACTAATTTTTCAATTATGTACTCAATGGAGGGGCCCTTAAGTATGGAGGGAAACCCTCATTAAATATTTGGAACAAAATTGTTACTTTAACCAATTACCATCGGACTTTTGTGGAGGAAAATTGTCTACCATTCATGGGCAAAGCGTTATTTTTCAAAAAAAACTGTGTGATGGTCCGGATCTTAACTAGGGAGAGAGCAAATGGTGCGGGAACCCTGAGGGAGGGAGGCTAGTTCACTCGGTAAAATTCAACAAAGCATGTGTCCAGTTAGAAAATCAAATAGCGGTACCTAGCCTGACAATCAAAGTAGTACCTGGCAGAAAAAGAGAAGTACATTAATATTCGCGACATATTTAAGACCTTTTTCGTTATAACAAAAATGAATGTGTGCTGTCGGTGAAAATTATAGGTAGCTGAGGCAAATGCGAGTTCACGTTGTTGGGTTAAAAGCTATAGATGCCAATCAAAAAACCCAAATTGATATTTTAACAGAAAAGAGTGAAGGCTCTGTAAAATAGATTGATACAAAGCTCTGAATTTCAACTTTGAAAGAAAATACAATAGTTTCAATTGTTTTTAGCTCAATTAAAGATTTTTCAATCTAAACGAAGGATGTCCAGTGTCAAAACTGTGCAATTGCAGAAAGTTGTTCCACTTCGAAATTTTCCGCGTAGTGGAGATTGGGAGCTCGCAGGAGCGAAGTATTTGCGGAAGTTACACCCAGGGGCGGAATTAGCGGGGGGTGTAGGGGTGCGACACCCCCCAATAATTTTGTGTCCTTCGGTAAATTTTGTTCCATTCGGTAAAAATCATATTCTGGTAGTCAGTGGTAACAAAGTAACGCCAAGATTTCATTTTGCTTATCTTCTTATCGATGTTTATCTTTTTTATCAGTAGCGTAGCGGGGGGGGGGGGGGGGGTGTTTATATTTCAGACAATATTTTTAAAGACTGCAAGCAAATGACTGTAACAACTATTCTGAAACGTATTTTAGGCTTATTTAATGGGTGTGCTTGGAGAAGCTTTCTGTTAACCTTTTTGCTTAATCTAGCAGAAAAAGGCTAAATAATTATGAGTTCTTCGGTAAAAAACCAGTAACATCAAGAGATTAAACCACTAAATCACTAAATATAATAAGTAAGGTAACTCACGACCTTGAGATTATCTTTGCGAGCTTTAAAGCGGATGCTTGAACGATCTTGGACTTGAGTCTGAACCTTGGGCGCGGCAAGTGTTTCTGGACTTCTACTTCGACAAAAACGTCAAATCTCTTTCACCATAAAAGTTGCTCTCGTAGCGGCTGGCCCCTCAAGACTGACTCCACTCTAAAGCTGGCACGCTAGATATGACTGTATAATCGGATTAAGCTAATGCTCAATTAGTGTCCTAAAGTGACGATAAACATGAAATTAACCAATGGACATTAAGAAAAGGATCGAAGATCCACAGAACTGTTAAAAATTACCAAAAAAGGAGCAAAGCAAGCATCAAGCGAACACATGAAAATGAAATGATTAATACGTGATCAAGTCAAAGGTCACTTCCAGCGTAACGGCGCCTTCATTGCGTAACATTTCTGCTCGCTTCGCTCGCAGGGAACTCTCCTTTGAACCCCTACAAAATGTTCAACAATTTCCCCTCGTTTTTCACGTTCTTTAAACATTCCCGATAAAATAGAAACTAAAATGCTAAAGTGCTTAAATCGTTAAAAAAACTTGATTCTGAAATGCTTGCCGTGTATTTTGGACCAAGGAGAACAAACTTAGTTTGAAAAATTTGAATACTTTTTATTATTTTTAGATATATGATCACAACTTTGGAAAATCAGTTCCTTAGCTTTTTTCCTTTACCAACAAATTTATTATTATGTAGTTTTTTTTCTACAGGGCCTGAAACTCCTCATCATCATTGATGGGAAAATTATCCTCTCGCAGGAAGTTTCAGGTTTGTTTATAATGATACTTTCATATTTTTAAGCTTAGTTGTTTCAAGAGATAAGAGAGAAATTATCTATTTTCTTTATCCTGAGATGTTCCTGTAAAACATCTGAATTGATAATATCAAATGCTACTGATGTGCTATATATAAGAAGAACAAAAGCCAATGTTCTGAAGGCCTAAGCAAAATATACACATGTAAGGTATGTGGTAGTTGGACAATTACTTTCTGGTGCTTTCCTAAACGTAAGCACGATCATTAAAGTGCTATAAAGAGGTGATGACTAAGTTTTAGGGTCTTTTCTAACATGAAAAACAACGTGCAAATACTCCGATCCCGGGTGTTAGTCCTTGTTTTAAATGAAGGCTTCCTAGCTGAATTCCCTTTGAAAAGATTATGCTAAATGCCCTGCTCACAGAAAGTATTATGACAACGATTTATTTGTTGATATATGCTTGTGAGATGTGGCAAGGTTTTTTATCAGACATGCAGTTGCTGAGAGAACTGGGGGCTGGCCCTATACTGCATCTTGGTACTTCGTATTTTTTTTGGAATGTTTAAGTAAATATTTCCGTTTGTCTCTCCATCCAAAAAATCAAACTCTTATTGCAGCCGAAGGGTTCTAACGGCAACTTTAGACGGGGAACTTTGTAGAAAATATTAGCAAACTGCCTAATCTCAAATTTAAGTTCACAATTCAACTAAATCAACTACAGAGATTTCAAATCCAAGATGGGCCAAATAATTATCACCGGGAGTTACATGATTTTGATGTCGTCATCAAAAGTTCATAAAGGTTCTTTATTGACCGGCCAAGAACTTGATATAAACTTTTGTTGCATTTTTCTGTTCAATTTATTATGCAAATTTCAAATCCAAGATTAAATGGAAAAAATACTTTAAACGGAAGTCAAATTTTTTGATGACGTCATCAACCTAGGGAATTTCACTTCGAACCGCCTGAATCGTTTTCTCGCAGCTATAATTGTTAAACAAGTTAAATATTTGAATAGTACATGTTCGGTGCTTTTGAAGAACGTATAGAATTACTATTTTACTTACTTCTAAACGCTTTTGCATGAGGTCATCACCATTTTATACCGTCATCATACATACAAGTGTTTAACTAGTGAAAGATAACAAGTCAAAAGTAATTTTTGTTGGATAAGAAATGATTTGGATTCCATTCATCGTCATCACTGTCTTCTGGCTGAAGCTCCTAAAGAAAATATTAACTCATCTGCGTCTGCCTCAAACTTATCATCGTTATTTCCCATGACTATTCTCTTGAAGGCTGGAAGATAACCTGGGAGATAGACAAATATGCCAGGACATACTTGTTTAATTGCAACCATGAATAGGCTGACACGCGCCTGATACTCCATGTTTGCATCATCGATAAAAAACGTTGTAGTTTTTGATAAAAAACTTGTCTTGATGGTTGCACGCTTATTGCGTTTTTTGGCTCATCTTGGATTTGAAATCTCCGTAGTTGATTTGTTGGAACGTGGAACGAAATTTTAGTTTAAGAGTAGGTTGTTTGCTAGTTTTTCTACAAAATTTATTGTCTATTAATCCTTTGCAGCGGGCATTGCCTTTTGAATTGTTTAAACCATAAACTTTATACTGCTCCACGGCCGTGAGTTTTCAGAAAAGACATATCGATACTTTTTTTATCAAGATACTATAAATTTTCCAGCCTCAATGGTCTTAACAGATTTACATAGTGAGCCTGAATACATTCATGAAGTACTCTTTTTTTATATCTGATATTTTTCCAGCGTAACATCGCCCGCTCTTAAAATAAAACCACGCTTTTTGAAAAAGAGAGATATGTCAGGTCTGAAATTCCCTGTTATGAACATAGCAAACAGGCAACTGCGGAAAATGAGAGACAAATTAAAAAAGTTTATTGAATTAATAAAAACTCTCTATAATCAGCCATGAGGTCTTCTGATCTAATTCATGTCAGTGCGAGGTTAATAAAACATAACAGAACATAATATATAAACGAGGCTATATACTAGTACGTATGCAACACAAATGTGCGAGCTGAAGCTGAGCAATGTAATGTTCTTATAATGTTCTTAAACATTGGATGATTCTTAGCCTGAAAATCCTTATAAACAATATACTTATTAAAAAGACTATAGCTGATGTAAATCCGATTGTGTAACTTTGTCTTTTAGTGAAGAATCCTCCGCCCATTTGCGTAGAAGTCCCTGTTCTCAGAAGGCTTGCGTCGTTTTGCATCGATTTTTACAATATCACATGGCATGGTCACGTTGGTGGATGTTTGAAACTCGAGATCAAACTTCTGTATATAATCGAACAGACCTATTACATCGGTTGTTTTCATTTCAACAATCTTGATGCCGAATCCAAGGCTGGCGTGTCAGCTATCTTGCGCGATCTTCACAGATTGCAGCAAAATCGAGAAAATCTGGCAACCCAGATTTAGATTGAATCAGAAGATTTGCATAGCATATATCGAGTCGTTCCTTGTGAGAACTCGTTAGTTTTAGATCCTCTGTAGCTTTTTCTATCTTGATATCTAGATACAATATTTCATAAATATTCTTTGTTTTCTTGTATTTTCTCTGTCTGCACCAGAAAAAATGTATTTCCAATAAAAAGAGGGCCTATTTTTCTTTTTCTCATATTAGAAACTCTCTGTATTTTTTCAATTCAAAGAACTGTTTGTAGTATACACTGGGTGTGTTCGGTAAACAGAAGCCAAAACCTACCCAATGCACACAAGCAATGTACTCATTGCAGGGACATAACTTTTTAATTTCTTCATAAAAAACATTGAACACAATGTTATGAAGCAAGCGATATGTTGCAGTTAAAGTTTTACAGAAGTCTGTTTTTTTATATATATATATATATGTCAAGAACCATAAGGGATTGTTGTTAAAGTCAAATTTAGTGAACTCTGCTTTTTAACTTGCCTATATATAAGTTTAAGAAAAAGAATGGTTCTAACATGCTCGGTGAAAAGCAAAGTTCACTAAATTTGATTTCAACAAAAAATCCTGCCTATGTTTGAATATTCTCAGTGAAAAGAGTTACACAATTTTGGCAAAGGCACAGAATAGGGTACATTTTACTCAACCCAGAATCAGAGAAAGGGGTCCAGGTTTTTACTTTCAAGAAAAGACACGATATACATTGGACCAACTGACTGTGCTCACCGGGGACTTGATCGGACCTTCACTAATGAATTTGTTGCTGAAGATATACTAAGGAAATTTTCTCGCGAAACTGGCAGTCTCCTTCGCTGTTCATGTTATTCATCACAGGAGCTTGCGCTTCTTGCATCAAGACCAAGTAAAAATTTAATGAATTTTCAGTGAATGGTCCTCTAACAACGTCCAGAGTTATGATAATTTACTTAGTTTCTAAAGGCAGAATATCTTGCATTGAAAAATACACGCAACATATTTTTCGAAAAGGGGCACTTGTTTATACTTTTTGCAAACAGGGGGGCCTTTGCCCCCGTGGCCCCCCCTGGCTCCGGCGGCCCTGGTCTGGTAAGAACTAAACATTCAGACCTGTGATCAGAGACGTTGTATATGTGGGCAAGAAACCAAGTGCCTGTAACATCTTTCCATCGGACATCTGACTCTTTGTCTTTTGTCAGCCAAAGCACAAATCATGCTCCTACTATTTTTGATAATTTTCTTATCATAAAGAGTGAGGGAAGGACTTTAACATTTTTAAGTTCTGCATAATTTTGGCATAAAAACAAATATTTTGCTGATTTTCAACAAACAAATATTGTCTTTTTCCAACCTTAATTAGCCGCGCCCAAATTGGACATGCCCTTTTGTTGAAATTGCTGTAAGGTGATGCCATGCTAAGAATGGGTAACTTTCATAGAATTTTTGCTTAACAATTTATCCCTAAAGCTCTTTGCATGAAACCTTGAAAAACAAGCCTGAAACTCGGAGTTGCACGAAGCATGCACAGTCTGTTCTGCATCGATCTCATTTTGACAATCCGGTAAACAGTATTTTTTGTTATCGTCAGTATGCTGTTATACAATTCTAATGAACAGTACTTGAAGGTTGCACCGTTTATAAAAATATACAGACAATTGGCGCGTCGCATTCTTATCAAACAAGTCACATCGCATCGTTTTCGTCACAATTTTTACATTACGCGTCGCATCGAACCTCAAATAAGAGGCTAAATTCTACGTTTTTCAGACAAAATAAAATCTTGGCTGGGGGTCGGCACGTTAAACCTTTGTCAATTTCCCAGCTATAGCTCAAATTTTCTAAATCCCCTCCCCCCCCCTATTAGCCCATAATTTATGCCTCAATTTCAGACCCACTGATGTTCAGACCCCCTTGCAGTGGAGCCACCAGACAGCGCGCAAGGGCAATCATCTTTTTTAAGTCATAACGAGGTTCCATGTTGTCTATTCTGGAACCGTTAATTATTTACGTCTGTAACCAAGGAAGGCTGATATTTGATGTATTCTGGTACACATCCTGTTTACAGAGATCTACATGGTACATCGCGCGTCAATTCAAATTGCTTCGAAAAGAGACGGTAAAATTTTAAATTTTGAAGATTCTTTTATTTTGGGTTGCAAAGTTGTAGGTAAATGAAGCTTTTTGCGTTTTTTGGTGTGTTGGTTTAGGCCGTTCTGTTACCAAACCACCTCCCTAAGTTGCCTCTGATATAATCGATATTGATAGCACTGTATGTTTTAAATTACTTTTATTTGGAACTCAAAACAGAAGCTATTCGTTTTGCTACCAGGTATGGTCGCCTAGCTTTACATTAACGAATTTTGTCCTGTTTTGAATATTAGTATTGTTTTGTTCTTTATGATAAGTTGCTTGGTTTCTTGTAAGTAACTAAGTAACTGAAGACTATTCTCTATTCTATTCAGTATCAAATGTTTTTCTTTGCTTGTTATTCAATGCAGATGAATTTTAGATTATGAAGCTGAACTGAACTGAACTGAACTTCCAACAAACAAATGTATAATACAGATCAGTGTTCAAGGAGTTATTTATTTGGCAAAAAGTTTTTAAAAATTGTCATTAAGGCAAAATCAAGAAAGACTTTGAGTGGTAAATATTGATTGTTAAAGCAATATGGTAAATAAATAAATTTATTTGATAAGTTAATTTATCTTTGAATTTCATTATGATATCTCACCTTGGACAATTAAAAATAACCAATTCATGATTGAAAATAGTCAGCTGGCACTTGTTACAATTAATAAAAGGGTAAATCCATATCAAATCATCCAGAATTTCGGAAGGTTGACACCCTTACCTCACAAATTTTCGCCAGAAATAGATATCATAAACAGTAGAAAATCCTGAAAATTTGAGCATCTAACTCCAAACGGTTCTTGAGTTGTGCATTTTTTTAGATTTAATGTAAATCGTGTTTCGCGACAAAAATCAGCCATTTTGAATTTACTTTCTTTTAAATATTTTCAGTTTAAGAAATGCTCTAACTCTACAAATTCACCCAGAGACGTTTTATTGGGTGAGGAATCCAAAAAAGCATCAAAAATACCCAATGGTCAACCTTTTTTGAGTTTTTCACAAATACTTAAGTTTTACACCATATCACAAATAACTGTGGCAGTGTAAATATTTGGATTTTTTAATTAGATGATTAAACATACACTAAACTTCATTTTTTCCAAATGTCGAGTTAAGTTCTCTTTTTATGCTTGCATAGTGAAGGAACAAAGACAAGTTATTTTTCCGGGTCTCTCATATTAGCTATATCAGGTACCATTTGTACAGTAAAAGAAGTCACGGAAAGAACAAAAGGTAAAAGAGTAATTACCATGGCTTAAACTTTAATGGACCTTATATGTAATGAAGTAACATTGGTTTCATGTCAGGCTGGTAAAATATGGTAAAAAGTAAAATCTACAAAAAATTAATGCCTTGCACACATATTCTTCAGTGACATATAAACAAGGTCCCAGTATTACTTATGACATACCACCCTAAGTGGAATCTTTCCTATAGGCCAGTTTGAAGAATATTGCAAATACATGCATGAGGGGTCATTCCATGTCAAATCATCCAGGGCCTGTGGCCATCATTTTATTCAGCATAATTTTGGATGGCAGTAACTTTGAAACTAGGTGCGAGGATGGCTCAGTGGTTAGAGTCGCTGACTACACACCTAAGGGTCCGTGGTTCGAGTCCCTGGTATGACCAAACTTCCACCCAGAGTGGGGAGAGTTGCCAGCTCTCTGTAATTCCAGGCATTCCAGGTAAGTGTAGTGCTGCATGCAAAAATTTGAACTTGGACGACGATTTCACTATAGCGCTACTAGGAAAAGTTTGTTTTGCACACCATTTGAATGTATTAAAGCAAGTGTGCACAGGAGCATGCCAACTGACAAATCCCCTCCCCCCCCCCCCTGCTAACAGTGTTTTAATTTAGAAAATATTTCCATGGATACAACAAGCCAGCATATTTTCTTCGATGAAATAATAGCAAATATAAAAAGAGCTTTTGTCATTGAGACGGTCCTCTTCTTAAATGATGTTTTTGGGTATGTTTGTATAAAATATATAGTTTCATAAAAATATATATTGGGATTGTATCATTTCATTAAAATTTTTTGAATGATATGAAGCTTTTTCTGTGGAATACTGTCAGGTTATTCTGCACCAGCCCTAGGAGTATTTAAGGTTGAATGCTTTGCCCATAATGCATGTGTTTTTTGCATGTCCTAAGGTGTATCATTTTTTGGCCTCTCCTTGTGGTTAACTTATTTAAATCTTGCTTTTTTAGATAAAATTTCCCATTAATTTTCATACATATTGAAGTTAAACGTTATAGGTCTGGTTTGTTCAAATGGATTCTGCATTATGAAGAATTCTAGCTTGTCCTCCAAAGTGCAAAACTTTCTTTAAAGAAGGAAATATCACCTCTAAGATGACAAAAGAAGATTATTGTTTTAAAGCACGACCCATGGATATATCATAAATTTTTAGAAAGAATGGGGTTCCTTTTGTATTGTGCACCACTGTGCAGAAATTTTTATACAAATAATTGAGAAATCACACACTGTGCAGAAATTTTTATACAAATAATTGAGAAATCTTAGTTTTTGACACAGTTATTGATTGGAAGATAATTTTAATTGACAAATGCTTAATAATGACCCACAGTTGTTTCTTTGATTCTTATTTGTATAAACGAATAAATTTATAAGTTGCTTGAAGTTAAAGCAAAGTTTAATCAGTAGTAATGCAGGCAAGAAAGTTTTTCCTTTTATCATGATCTTCTTGCCCAACTCAGATTAAAAATACATCAAGCTTCTTATGGGCAATGCAGTGTTTAAAGGTAATGTGTCCATATTAAAGAATTGCGTATACCCAACTTGTCAAGTAACATGAAAATAACGGCTTGCGATTGGTCAGTATTCTTGCGATTCAAAACTGCTCACATGAAAAGCTGATCTCGCGGCAGGATAGATAAGCAGAATGACCGTAATGGTATGGGGGATGACATGAAAAATCACATGTTTCTAAAAACCCTGTAGAGTTTCTTGCATTAGCTACACACATTACCTTTAAGGAATATCCCAGTTTTCAAATCTGCCATTTCTAATCTTAATAAGCCTTAGACCCTAAACAATTTAAAAATAGTGTGAAAAGTAGAAGCAAATGTTTTTGTCTGAAATTCCACTTAGCATAAATTTTGATGATGACCAAATATGGTAGGTGGAAAATTATATCCAGGTACAGATTAAGGGTGTCTGCATTACTGCAGATATTTGACAAAAATTTTCAATAATATTTCTATTTAAATAACAAAATTATTTTTGATCACTAAGTTTTTGAAAGGGTAGTTCAGTTGTCTTATGATAAAAGTAAGAATTTGAATTGCCCTTTTCAATGGGCCTGAGCTAGCAAGCTTTTGACTTATGTAATGTGCAAATTTGCCCTCAAAACCTTGCATCTGCATTGCCAGCCAGGAGATATGGTAAGATTTTGAAATGCATAAATAATTAGTAGTGATTCGAGGCAATCTTGAATCCACAATGTGTCCGGGACTATGTAGGTCTTCTTCTTTCCTCTAATTGTTGATATCTCAAATTTTCATCAAAGTATTCCTAAAACCCAGAGGAGAATGCTGTGCCTCATTTCCCTAGATATTTGATAAGGAAGCATGATCACAGTTTCAAACCTCATTTCTGTCATGTTTGCTCTAAATAATCTATTTTACTTGGTGATAATTTGCCTGTTGAAAGGAAAGCACCTTTTTATTTTAATTCGATAACATGTCGTTATACAAGAGGTACCTGTCCTTGTTTATTTATCTCATAACAGCTGTATTGAGTTTGAACAACAAAACATCAATTATTTATAATCATATCTTATAGCTATTTGGTTTTATTTATCACGCACAGGCAATACATCACTTGGGTCATCGACCAACACCTTGCATTCATATATAGCTGTTGTTATGTCGATTAGACCAGATATAGCATCATTGCTAATGAAATTTAGTTATCTGATGAAAGTGTGCATTCATGTTTGTCTTTTCATCTGACGGTTGATTTAATCTGTTTACTTTATGTTGCAGCTGGTCAGTATTGATATATGATAATACCTCATTACTGCCTGCGATCATTGCAAAGTAAACATGTTTCAACGAGGGTAAGTGTGTTTTTATAATTATTTTATACCCTACATTCTTCTACACATAGGGTAGTGCCTTATCTTCTTGGATCTTAAAAAATTCTGACTCTAGAATCAATGACCATGCTTTCTGAAGAAATTGTGACAAGGAATCGTTAAACTTTTGCTGTTCCACTGTTTCGCATGATATAGAATGGACATGTGTCGCTACTAACTTCCTATCTGTCCAGTTTTATGATTTCATCTACACTTGATCATCTTTATTCTGTTTTTATTTTTACCCATTAATTTACTTTGCATTAGCAATTGAGTAGTCTGCCGTCTAACGCGTTTCTTTGTTAAGTTTCCAAGTTTGAACTTTCTTACTACTTTGTTTGTTTTTGGTGTTCTTTTAAGTCATTCATTTGACATACCAATGAACAAAACTGCCTGTTACCTTTTGGGTGAAATCTGTGTAAATCTACCGAAAAAACAAATACAGTTGTTTACGAAAGTGACAAAGTGAATTTCGCTGATTAGGGTATTCATTACCACGAAATGATACTTCATGAATGGACAAAATGTCAATAAACCATTTGCGAATTTTGTGTGCCATATAACGCATCCTCAAATTTTTATATATATCGCACAAGACCGCCAAAGTTATAAGCAATCTAAGCAATGGGTATAGGCAATGGGTATTTATATTAAGAATACTGAACTAAATGTTCATTGAATGCAGCGGTGGCTTTAGGGACTGCTGGGCTCTTGCCGCAAACATTTGCTGGGCCCTTGCTCAGCTCTTCCATTTTTTTCTTTGGTGCTGGAGCCCCTGCTGGCTACCATACGCGCGGTTCCTCGGCTGGGACCTTGCCCCATTTTTTTAATTTCTTGAAGTTTCTACTGGTTGTAAATTTATTTTGCCGTTATTCTTCAACCGTAATGCAACTTTATAGAAACATTTTTTTGCATTTTGTCTGTTTGTAGACTTAGATCTGAGAGTAATGCATCAACCATCACGGCTAAATTAAAGCGTTTTGACAGGTAACTTCAATACATAAACATAAAATAAAATTCTAACAAATCCTAATTTTTCTGCATATATTTTCCCAATGAAATTGGAAAAACAATAAAATCTAATCAATTTAATTGCTATTTAGTTCTAAAATTTAGTGAATTTTTAGAAAGACATCTTTTTGCATTAGCATTTAAAGTTTTTTATCACATAAATAATTCACATAAAGAATTTGTTTGAATGGAATTTCCGCATGTGCTGTATAAGAATAGTTGTCATAAACTTAACTTTTTTCTAATAAAATTGGTTTCATATACATTCATTAAAGAGTGAATTATACTAACACGTTTATTTAGAAATCTTGACAGCTAAAAATTTGTGTCATAACAAAAAGATCTTTAAATGCATAATTCATAACCGGATTTAAAGACACACTGCCGGGCTCTTAATTGGTCTACCAAATAATAAAGCGTCTCGTTTGCTCAATTTTGCTACACATCGAAAGCCAACTCATAACTACCAACAAGCACAGCGATAGTGCACTTCGGGCTATTTTGAATAAAACTTCTGAAGATTCATATTTGATTTTTTTTAGATTTCGAAGACGTTAGTTAAAATCTAAATTTGGTTCATTTAATGGATCCTTAATTTTTATAAATCAACACAAGCTCTAGTTATGAATGCTTGATGTTCTGTAAATTGATAACGGAAACGAGAAATCAGTGTTGATGCCTCTGGTCTCTATAGAATCTAAATAATACAGTGAGATGTTTGAATTACTAATTGAAAAAAAGTTAGTAAAAGTCTTCTTATTCAACGTTATATCTAATCAAAAGATTTTGAAAGCATTTGAAGGAATGAACCTTTTCCATTCTGCTAACTGTGGGGTCGGCATGAACAAGTGGATGGTCTTCGGATATCATTCTAGACTCACTTTTTTGGAGTAATGAATTGTGAAATTTAAATCATTATGCCGTAGTTATTTTGGTGATACTGACGATGGCTTCAAAATCTTTTTTTTTGCTTTTTTGTGTGTAGAAAATCAAAGCAACTGCAAGTGAAATCAGAGCAGCTTCAAAAAGAGAACGATGAGATGGAACAGCGGATCGTTGCTTTGCGGCAAATGATGCAAAAGGAAAGAGAGGATCGAGAGTAAGTTGAAAATGATTTATGCTGATCTGAGACACCTATACAAATCGTCACCCATAAACAATCTGGTGGTTCCTGCTAGGTTTATCTTTTTAAGAAATTCTAATGGATCGACTTTACCCTAGTGAAAGTTATATGTTATAAGTTATAGTCTCTGTATTGCTGTTTTTGGAATCAACTGAAAGTCACCGAGTTAGGCATCTCCAGCTTCTCATTTGGCAAAAGAAGTTGCATTTGGCACTTTTTTGAAAGTTTTGCTCAGTTTTGTAGCTTGCAATTTTATGAGTGACCAAGGTTTAAGATTTATATTGGAAAATCTTTGTTAGATTGGGCCTCACAATATGTAATTCTTTCGTTGCTACTGAGGTTCTAAATTGTGTAGGTTGTTGTGAGAAAGCATTGATCTAAGTTGTCAATCAAATCCCAATGCGTCCAACAAGGCTACATTTGTTAGATTGTAATGGCTATCTTGAAAACATGGAACATGGAATATTGGAATGTTGGAATATGAATAGAAGTAAGCTAGCCTTTGCAAGGTAATACCTTCCTATACGATAAGTTCTCGTATCAACGAACCCAAATTGAACACAAATATACTTGTTAGCATATAGTTATATAGTTATATAATTTCACATTCCAATATTCCAGCATTCCCACATTCCAACATTCCACATCCATGTTTTCAAGATAGCCTTTTTGTAACGAGGACGGATAAATGAAGTGGGCAAATTAAGCCTGAAATAAAACGTTATAGTGAAGATAAGTGTGATTCAAGGCTGGACTGACATATACTCACAAAGATAGACAAATTTCAAACAAGCAACTTTACGATGCCTTCTCTTACGTTTATATCTTTTTTTATATATATAGTAGTAGATGCATAGGCCGAAATGGCCCTTTATCTACTACAACAAAACAAAGTTGAACCTATGTTTATATAGTAAATACGTTTAACTGTTGAACCTGCTTCTTCGTTCCATTTTTAGAAAATCATTGTATTTTATATTTCAATACAGCTGACTTTACCATGATGCTTTTCTACAAGCCTTTAAATATAGAATCGTGTGTATTGTCTATCCAAAGCGCAAAAATTGTACGGTAGATGTGCATCTTGTATGTCTTTGGGGCTTTAGCCATTTTTGGCTATGTAAATGGGAACAAACAAACTGTTATTTACAGTTTGTTACTTGCTGGTTACTGTGTGTTAACCTAGGGTTTTCCCCTTTTCTTGATCAACTTTTATTTTCTTTGACCACTACTGAGGCCTGTAAGAAAAAAGACTGAGCTCTCGTTGGAACTTTTCTGTTGGCTTTCTTTATCTATCTGGTAGTCCAGCGAGTCTAGTTATCCGAGAGCCTTGATAATAATTCATATAACACAAAGAGCTCTTTGCGTGGGCACCATGCCTTGATAAACTCAGAAATATTCCAAGGATTAGCCCTCTTCAATGCAAGAATACTTTCAGTAGATATTATACTAGGAGCGCCTTAAGTTGATCATAGTGTTGTTTGATTACAGGCGACAAGGTGGGAACAGATGGAAATCAAGTAGAATTGGCCAGGATACGAATTCACCGAACGCAAAAACAGAGAGAAAGCCTACGAAACCAAAGGTAATGTCAAACCAACTTTAAAGCAATGCGCTCGGAGTAAGAAATTTCTTGCACGTTTAAAATCCTACAAATAATTTTTGTAAATATTCTTTGATTAAACCTGCATTTACCTTTTGCTGATTAGTTTTGTAAAAATTATGCATTTTTGTGATATATTATCCTAGGTAATTTCGCATTTTGTATTGCAGCGTTGTTTAAACAATTCGTAGAAGTACCGAATTTTATAGCCTGATTTCTGTATGACACTGATAAAATCATAGGAAATCACTTGTTGTCAAAAACCCGAGCTCGTGTCATAATGGAAATGAGAATGTCATTTTATGTTTGCTCTTCTGGTTAATGAATATAAGGTTTTATCTACAGGGCCAACCGAAGTTCAAAGTTTTATCCGATAAACCTATAGGTAAGCCATTCAGTTTGACTAGCCACTAAAACACATCAATACGCCAATTATATTCTCAGCAATGCAGTGGTGAGAACTAAATCTCCTTCTACATTTTAAGGGGCAACAACCCTATTGTAGAAACAGTTTTTATTAAGGTCAATTGTCTACAACCTGGCTCTAAAATACAAAGAAAACTATTGTTCCATTTCGATAAGGAGGAAATCGCTAAATCTAATTCATATCGTAGACATATCAGAGTAGTAATAATAATTATAGCCAAAATGTACAATAAAAGTTTTGCATAATCTACTGCTGGACTCGAAATTTTTTTTCAGATTTTATGTTTTCTTTAAAAATATGTAATGATTGGAACTCTTTATTTTATATAAGTAACCTTTGCCATAATTCATGTTCGGAGAAAGGGGAGGGGTGTTATCAAGTATAGTATGTTGCTTGGGCAATGCGATGTGCGCAATGGTCTACTAACATGAGTAGGTGAAAAGCTCTGCTTCGAATATTGTTATTTAATGAATGGATTTTGTTCTGTTGCAGAGAAATACAAATCTAAAGACAGCATGAACATCAATGCTGAAACTCTGCAGTCATCCTTGTGTGGACAGTGTGAACGAGTCAAGGCAAAACTGGTAAAAACTAAATTCAACTTTCAATTTAAACGCTTAATGTTGTAACTGGGTAGCCCAGTTATACCCTGTATTATGTAACATTGGTCTTCTTTATATTACACCTGAAGTGTTTTCAATGTTCAGCAATTGGATAGATGCATCAAAAGAGGTGAAAGCTTTGAATATACACAAAAACATTTCTACCTGAATTAATGCAAATTTCACCATTGGAGAATAGTGTTTCAGTTACCGTATAGATGGATGGTTCTTACGGATATCGATTTCTGCACTTCTTATTACTCTTATTTCCTGAATAAAATCTTCCTTTGCTATCCTATATCATTTATCTCATGCTTGTTTACAATAGGAATGTGTGGAGTGTGGTGAGCTCTACTGCCCACCTTGCTTCAAGCAATTCCATTCAAAAGGAGCCATGAGAAAGCACGCCTGGCAACCAGTTGATCAGGTATTTTAGTATGCCTAATTTGCTCAGTATAGCAGTGTAATCATATGCCAAATTCCCAATGAAAGCAAATGTTTTATATATTGGCCATTCACAATTGACTTTGTTGTAATTGTTTTAGGTTTGTGCTACTTGTTTTATTGTTTAAGGTAGACATGCCCAAGCTTTTCTGATGCAAAGGAGAGTGTGAGACATTTTCAGAAGTGCTAGTATCTTACAGCTTTGGTATATTTTTCGCAGCAAAAAACGCCACTCTCCTTCATAGAGGCTAATATGAAGAGAGATGGGGCGAGAAAAGGTAGAGCTGCGGAAATTAGGAGGGGAAGGCGGAGGAGAAGAGAAAAGAAAAGATTTGGCTGAGGCATCTGCCGTTATTCTCTTCCTCCTTCTCCCTCACAGCTCCTCTCCACTTTTTCTTTTCTTCCGCAGGAGAGTGAAAGAACGCTTTCCGACTGTGCTTTTTGTGTCAAATTACTACAAGACTTAATATAATGTTACCATGCGCTCAAACCGATAAACAAATATTATGACAGCGTATACACCAACACTGAACGCTTGGTGTGATGTCAAAATCAATAATTAGAAAAATCTTATGCATAACTTTTAAGAATCTGCAGGAATTATATACCTTAAGGTTTTGAAGTGAATTATAGCACAACCTCCATTGATAAAACTAGCAACAGACCCAAAATTTCGTCCCAGAATTTCCTCTCTATAGCCAAAGCCATTTTCAAGTAAACTCCAAAAAACGGAAACCTCCCTACAACAAAATGTAGGTTGTGTTGCATAGGCTTACCTTTAATCGGAGTTTCACTGTAATGTTTTGCTGGTGGCCAGGAAGTGAAGCCTGTTCTTGAGTGTCAATAGTTACGAACATGATTCGGAGCCAGTGCATCACCAGAGGCCAAAAGCAGTTGTATCTTAAAAGCCAATGTAAATAGTGAAATTTATTTTACCTCGTCATAGCTTGCTCATATGTAGCAATTTCAGGGTATCTGTGTTTTCAACCACAACTGATATGTTTCTTTTTTCCGCCTAGGAAAGACCGTACTCATCAAAAAACAAAACAGAAAACACCAAACAAACGAGGTAAAGTCAATTGAAAAATATTTTAGTAAAATGCGGTTTTAAATTGAAATTGAAGCATGGAGAACTAAAACCTATCAAGCGGTTTCTTTCGATGAAATCTTTGCCTTCTTCCTTTACACTGTATTTTCAGCTTGGGGATATCTTTTCTTCTTTTTCATGCCTGATAGTTTTAAATACTTAAATGTGCAGGCAACCTTATTCGGGCAACCTTCTTGATTTTCAAGATAAAAAATCCTTTATTTTCCCCTTGTAAGTAGCTTAAAAGTGGGATATTAGGGTTAATTGATTTATCACTCATTTCTTCACGAAATATGTGATATGTTGATTCTCGTTGAAGTCGAAATTAGCTAATACTGAAGAACGATTTTAGTCCCAGTTTTAGAGTCCCTACTATTATACAAAATTTGATCGCGTAATACTTAAAGTCGAAGATCGAAGTCAAAGATCTATGTTCGAAGATCGAAGTTGAAGGTCGAAGTTGAAGGTCAAAGTTGAAGGTCAAAGTTGAAGGTTGAAGTTGAAGGTCGAAGTTGAAGGTCAAAATTGCAGTTCGAAGTTGAAAATCGATGTCAAAGATCGAATTTCTAAGACTTGAATAAACTTTATAAACATTATCTTCGTGACATTGTTTAAAAATATTTAGAAACTTCCCAACTAGCACAAAACTGGAAATTTGGTGTTAGCCTCAAAACTGGATTTTGACTTTATTATAAACACCATGTCCTTCTAGCTTCCCTAAACCCTTCCCTTTGGCTTTCAGTCTTATGCTTCAGTCAAAGTTCTTGTAAGTGTTTTCTTGCTGACGATGTGTAAGAAGATCTCAATTTGCGATAACAGCCGAGAGCGCTGTAAAAAAACTCTTGACACAATAGTGTCATTTATCTTTTGTATCTATACCAAACTATGACAGGCTTGCTTTTTCAGAGTCGCAGTATCAACGTCACGTGATTCGTCAATTGGACAAGCAGCCCCCAAGGAAGCCCAAATGGTAACTGTGTGTTACTTAAGATAACACTTTGTAGGAAATCTGTAGGGTCAAATAGAAAAGTTCGTGGGTTCGTTATATAGAGAGTATTCCGAGAGACTGTATCTTTAGTTCGTTATAACGAGAAGTTTGATGATAATTAAATGAAATTTAATCAGAGTTAATTTCACGAGGGACTTTTGAGCGTTAACTAAATCCCTTGAGATTGTTGTTACTACTTATTCGTTATGTTTTCTTCTGCCACGCTTCCTCGCGTTTTTCTTGTCTCTGTTTTACTAGTTTATGGGAAATGCGGGGAGTCTTTAGGCCTCCTGTGAATTTGATTTATATAACTAGGGTAAGATGTGTGTTCCTTTGGTTAATCTAGGGGTATTTAAGGTTTTGGCATAGCGTGGGTCTCAACTTGCTTGTCGAGGAAACAATACAACTAAGCTGTTTTATTGTATTTTCCCAGCCCTTCCTCCCTCATGTTTTTTCTTTATGCAAAGTGCCTTTTCAGTATAGCTTTGCGTGTTGAGTTTCTTTTATGGCATCGTTAAACCTTCCATACCTCTAGGCATCAGCGTTTTCTAACGCTATTAGATAGGACTGGTGCATCGGCTATTAGTGGGGAAAAGAGACTTTTCCTGTCCATTCCCTCCCAATTATCAATCATATTTGGGGGTTATTGTGTAACTTCCCTTAGTAACCCCTTTATGGTAGGCTGAGCGATTGGCGCCAATGCACCAACGGCCAAACTCTCTCTCGATGATGTGGGAACGAAGCCTCATGACTGACCTTCTGATGTCTATGGCAGTTTTTCTGAGGGAGCTTTATGCCCTTTATATTGCATTGGTATTTCATTCCCGAGTAAGTAAATTAATTATAGATGGATTCGACTTAAGTACAGTGAACCTCTTATTCTTTCATTTTTTAAATATACATTGGTTGCAATGACGTCTAGCCTAGCTGTAGATGAATTAAGATAAACTCCCATTGCGTTAACCAAATTGTATCACACTTGATCGTCTCAAAGAAACTATTCAGAAGGAGCTCCCCATAACATCAATACCCATCAAACCTTATTCAATCGTCTACATAATCTTCCTTCTTGTTTCTTAAGGAGGACGAAGATTCACTACAAAACTCGGGTGGGATGCTACTCGGAGGAACATACAACGAGGAAGAGAGTGCTGCTTCGTTTCAAGAGGCTCTTAAGGAATGGAGAAACAGCTCATCTAACTTGCCATCACAGAAAAATGGGATGTGGATGAATCCGGTGGATGAAGAAGCTAAACCAGGTGACACAACTTTTTTCTGCATATGTATAACGTTAAAAGTAGTTATTAATGCCATTCATTCCTTCTTATGGCTGTTTCTTTTGAGCTGTGAAAAAGAGCTATAGTGTTAATAGACTATAATTCCATGCACCCTTATGAACCGATTTTTCGTTATAATTCTTCTTTTCAGATATATAATTAATGCTTGCTTCCTAAACTGTTTCTGTTACCTGAAACGTTCTGTCGCTCTGGGTGCATTAAAGACAGGGATAATTAAGGAGTTTAATGCTGCATTGAATGGTTCTCGTTTTTCCACAAATACTTCTGCCACTGTGCATGACCAAAAGCTTTCCATTCTCTTTGTTCTTCAAAACATTATCCAGCTAACACACAGGAAGTCTTCGCGTACTTTTTCAGAACCTTTGTCATCTGTTATTATTTGTCGCTATGAAAATTGGAGACTGTAATCCCTATTTGAAACGGTTTTCTCGTTTACCTTGTTCAAATCTTTTCACAAGATCCCCTTTCTTTGCGGAAGATTTTCAATAAAGCACCTGTTTTAATAAGGCTATTTACAAAAGAATTCTTCTTTTAACAATGTTGTCTTCAAATGTAGGCCGCCGTAAGAAATGAAAAACTGCTTTTATACAAATAAGCCCTCGTTTGGTCGTTGACCTAATTTTTTTATTGTTGCGTGCTGCAGCTTCAATTCTCACCAGGGTATTCTGAATTTCTAATGTTCTTAGTTCTGGCATTTTCATTTAATTTCCTTTTTTAAATAGAAGCAATATACAATTGTCGTTTTGGCAATTAGTATGTGTATAAAATTGAGCAATTTGATGACCGTTGCAAGGTCAATCGTTTTAAGTTTGGCTCTAAAGTTTGCCCATTCAAGATTTAGTTCCAAAATTATTTTTTCTTTATTTATGTACATATAAATCCTCTTCCAGAACTAGGACGAAGTGGGTTTTTAACTGAAACTCTAAATCATTTTTGAAATAGGGAGTTTCTCTTCCAAAGCCCCACTTTCAACTGCCTGTTGCTCTTTCTCCGGTGCTTTCTTCTACTTTTCGTAAATTTTTCCGTTAATCCCCACTATATACAACCAAGATTTTTGTAGTAAAGTACCGTAATTCCCTGTAGTGCAAGCGCTGTTTTGGCAAATGAATCTTCTTAGAAGCCCATCGCAGAGTTACAAAACGAAATAAAACTTAGAAGGGTAAAACTTAAGGTAAAAAAAAACTTAAAATTTTATGTCGGAAATAATAAATTCTTACATGGATTCTACTATTTCAAAAACTAGATTATTTAGAATTTTTTTGAAATAATCGTCCAATAGAATTCATTTTGATCATATTTGCAGAGAGTGTTGTGCTATCTTCTCTCCCGTTTCCCCATTGTCCTCAAAACAACAGTTTCTCGCATAGACTTGATCAACATGCAATCATCTGCGAAAACTCTAATGCTGGTTTTGTATATTATACAGACAATTGTTTTCCAGGACTGCTGGAAATATATTTTCACGAAATATCAGCAGGTTTCCCTTTACCACCTGTTTTAATATCTTTTATATCATTTAAGTTAAACATTTTCACGGGGGTCAGGCGTTCAGAATATCACCCGTAGATTTCTTTTCGTCAAAGATTTACGTCAATTTCTTGAACAAAGGTTTTTTCTCTAAAAATGTAATTAATAGTTATAGCACGGTTTTAACTTCGAAAAAACATGCTAGATGAACTGAGAGTTGTAGGTAACGGAGAAGCAAGGTAATCTACATAACCTGTCTGCTCGTTGGGATTTTCCAATCGCAAAACGTATTGACGAGGCTGCCGATAGACGTATGTGATGATATTGCAGGTTTCCTTGTATGCCATAGCGCTAATGCATTCTCAGTGACTAAGAGGTACATGGGCGAATTAAAGTTTGAGATTAAACAGTAGTAAAGTAGTTTGAGCGATTTATTAAGGTAAGAAAATTCGCTGGATCTTTTTATCAATTATATATTGCACCTGGTGTTAGTTCGGTTTTTATCAATATTTTTTTATGGTTTTAATAATACAAGAACTGGTTGTTCTTTTGAATGGAATTTTACACATGGTTTTATCCCTTCCTATACATATACAACTTTTAAATGCCAGTATGTACATATGCTTATGTCAGAGTGATTCTATCCCTTCCTACACCCTTTTCAAGAAAATATTGTTTAGATAGAAAAGGGCAAGATGCTTGATGGACGCAATACGAAATAATTTTGTGATATTATTTTTTTATATTGCTTCAATACAAATAGGTGATTAAACCTTTCTGAGTTTTATGAGCAACACATAAGCATTTTGTCGTACTAGGATAGTGCGTTCCTCTTTTCTCAAAGTTGCTGTCTTCCAGTGGCTACCCTTTTTTCCTTTAACACGTGAATTTTACAACCTATTCTGAAGTTCCTAGAATGTGGTAACCTCAAATATCGACAGAAATTGAATTTCCGAGTTTATTTCAAAACCTTTCTTTTTGAAATCTTTTTAATTGCTATCGTAATGATTTAGTCTAAAGCTTTCGGTTAGGAATTGATGTTTTTAGCAAAGCCGCATGCGTCGTCATCGGACTCAAATCCCTGCAGGAATCGAGCTGTTTTCCCCCCTACTGATCCCAGATTTTCGTTGTATCTGATCATTCGGCATTCTTAAACAGTTTGGTCCTAATGCACGTTTACGTCATATCTTATTAACCACTCTCTACCCTTTTACTCCACTCGTATCTTTTTATCTGTCTCTGAAAAGTTGACTTGACTTAAGACTCAAGCCTTTTTACTAACTGCAAAGCTGTGTGGATCTAGGCCGTCGAACTGGGCCTAGGTTTACACAACATCTGTTCTAACATTTGCTGTCACCTACAATGCATGAGATTATGCTTCGTTTCTGTTTGTAGAATCTCATAATCGTAGTCGTCATACCGATTACAATCAGTCCCGAACAGTAATCTCTCAGAAATTCAACATAATCCGCATTTCAAGAGAATTCAATTCAATATTTAATTTTTACTCCATGTTTCTGTTAGCAATCGGATTGCTGTATTTGTTACAGGATATTAATTTTATACTCTTATTTGATCATTTTTCACTTTCCTTCTATAATCTAAGTCCCACGTATTTTAGTCACGTACTTTTGTACACAAAACTTTTTCTAAGTTCGCTAATGAATTTTCTCATCACCTTCTCTGACTCATTCTGTAGCTATTTAATTTTTCACTTAGCCCTGTATTAAACGTTTTATTCAATTCCTTATTTTTGTCACCCTGTTGGTTACTTTTCCTATTTTATTGAAATCTTTCCAAGTTCGCTGACATATAAGCTGTTGGCTGTTGCCGTTGGACGCTTCTTCATTTCTGGAAATATTAGGGATATGATTGCCTGACTGGTGCGCTTATAGTTTCTGATTTTGATTCTATGACAAGTCTGAAACCTGGGTCAAAGTATTTTTAACAATATCGAGTTTAAGGTGTGCTATATGTATGTTAACAAAGAAGGGTTCGTTAAGATCATAACGTTCACAGGAACTCAAAGGAATGAATATATAAGGAAGGACACGCCCACTGACCACTTTGTTAGTTGACTTTAGATTCTCATGGCCTGTCGATTTCGTTCACGGGGTCCGGTAATGTTTATGTTCAAGGAGTGAGATTTTGGATTGGATCAGGCGTTTCGGCCATAAACACGTTGTTGAAAGGAAGGAGGCCAAAAAATATTAGCCTCTTGAGATCAAGCTAGATATTCATTCTTTAGCAGCTTGCATGCAACCAACCGCAGTGCATCTTATCACACTATCACTTGATAAAGCTATCTGCACTGTTATTGTTTCACAGCTGCAAGAACAAAATATCTCACACTTACAGCCTAAAAATAACCATATTTTTTCGATTTGGTATTAAATTATGCGAGAAATTTGCAGATATGATCTTATCGCATGGAAACTGACAATTAGAACACGACATAAACTGCGAGCATCCACACTAGTCTGGGAATGAGCCATCTAATCTTCTCAAGATTACGAGTCTTATCGCATGTAAAAATATATTTGGCATTATTATCTGCTTTCGTAGCAGTTCTTCATGCCGCTTCTTTGCTGTACGCAAACAAGCTAGGGCAAGATAAATCAAACCATACTCGGCCTGATAGACTGCTCGATAAAGGCTGTCAGTTTTTTAATCAAGTTCAAATGAACCAAATAATCTGGGATTTCACGATGGTAAATCGCATGGTAACCACACCTTACTTGCAAATACGTTATCTCCATGACGTCATTTTTGCAACTATTTGTCTACTTAAATCTTGACATTAGCAGTTAGTAATTTTATCTTTCTTTTACAGAATAAAATATTGAGTAAAACTAACCTGAAATAACGCAAAGGCTGTGTCTTGTAAAAATGAATGGAAATATAACGCTTTTTGCGACACCATTTTGGAGCTACATTATGACTCGATCCTTTTCTCAATTAGATTTCTCGTTGTGTTTGTTATTTTACCCCGCTGGATGAATAAGCCCGATTTGAAACACTCTATCTCAACCTTCGTCAATGAAATTGATACTAGTATTTTATAATTTCAAGAGTCCGAGTTTCGAAATTCCAATTCACTAAGCAATAAAGTATCTGTACATGGTAGTTCCTTGGCTATGAAACTATCAATATTGGAGATGTGAGAAGATTTTGGGATTAAGGCCTCAAGATATTGAAGAATTGAATCGGTTTTAACGAAAATGTGCCTTTGGTAAAAAAATATTCTTGAGGGGGAAAGTTAAATTGCAAAACGAAATGAGTTTGCTTCGCACCTGCTAGACATGAAAATTTATCAACCAAACATTAGTGGTTTCATATCGGAAGTTAGGCGATGTCCGGTCGTTTGGAGTACAGGAGGTGCAGAAGCGTGTTTATAATTATTTCAAAGTACTTGACTTAAGTTGTATTTAACTCAATAGTCTCACGTATACCAAGAACCCCGAAATTAAAAGCCTTGCACCTGTTTTAAGAATACATAATCAACTGTGTTCTGATTTTATGCATTTTCTATTCAATAGCATAGGGATTTTTGAAAAAGAATTTGTCATTCAGGAACATAGATAGTCTTTCAAATTTACTCCAGCGACTGGTGGCAGATTATAGATAAAGTTGAGAGTTCTTGAATAAGATAAGAAGTAGAATTTCACTATTTATGTACCTGCTGTGTAAAAGTCGTTGTTTCTACCAGTGTTATTCAATGTGTCCCCCCGGTTTTATTTCTTTTATACAACAAATAAGGACTGTATGCAGAATTGCTAGTGTCAAGCAACAGTTTTATGTTGTATGATGAGTTCTCAGAGCACCACACAGCTCGTGAAGCGTTCATAAGGGTTCCTCTTTTCATGGTACTTCTGACTGCTATATCTGTATCTAACAGCCTTGACAGGTTATTCACTGGGCGTTATGAATGCGCTCTTTTCGCTACGCGATTCGATACCTTAAGATGGTTCTTCTTCAAAAGCACTTCTCTGTGCTAGGTGATTCGAGACATCGAAAGTAGTATCAGTTCGATCGAAGAGGTGAGTCTAAATATTCTACTACTTGGAATGAAAACTCATTTCGATTGCAAACAGCTGATGTCACGATGTGCTAGAACTTGTTATCATCTTCCCATATGTTCTGTAGCGCAACACATATACCATTTCAGCAGTTTAGCAAGAAGGTGATCTTGCGCCGCGTAGTTATGTGACGCAGTATAGTAGTTTTCACGAACCCGTAATTGAATATTGGTGAGTTTAAATCTTTCTTATACTTAACCTATATTCTTGTTTAGAAAGAACTGCGGACCTTCTCGATGCTAACCGGAACTCAAATGAAATGCATCAACACAATCTAGCAGGAATTTGATTTGTTATCAATGGTTTCGTACTCGTTGAGTCAATTTTGAGCGTTGTTTCCAAGTAAATAAGAGTTCTTATTTGTGTTACTTTGATTTGAAATAGTAGCCATTTTTTAGCCATTTTCCTTGAAAATTTTCGTTACACAAGTAGTAATGCTAGAAAAGTTCAAAGATGATGCCAGATTTCTCAACATATTGCATGATATATTCTTGCTTAACTTACGCTGTAACGTTGTGATGCCATAGGATGTAGAAACTGGGGCCAAATAAAACCCCTGTACACTTCCTTAACCAATATCTTATTACCCATTTAAACTCGATATGCCTTTTGTTTAAAATGTACTCATAAAGTCCATTTAGTTGTCGCCTGAAATCCCCTCTAAGATGCGGTTTGCCTCTTAAAGCCCCTGGCCTTGTGTCTGAAACACGAAACACCAGTTTGTTATAAATACTCCCGCCATCAGGTCTTTACGCCACAGACCTGTGTTGAAACATTAAGAATTTATCAAACTGAAAGTGATATCAATCGGCGTCTTGTTATCTGAGAAGAGTGCATCTGCGGTTGATTCAGTTTATGCTACTTCTATTTCCACACGTTATTACCGTAAGCAATAAACTGAATTATAAGACAGAGCGCATTGCTTCATAGCCATTAACTTCCTTTCTTATTATGGCTGTGACACTGTGATCGTATATAATACAGAGATCTGTCATATGCATTCGGCATTAGGGTAGAAAGAGAAGTTCAGGTTAAAGCCCTTCTACTATGCAAAATATTCTGGGCAACTTTTTCTGTTCAAATTGAAGCTTAGGTTTCCATTTGCCAATTTAGGCGAGCCTCCAATTTATTCTTTTGCTGCGAGCATGCTACATGGTCCATCCGCTGCCGCATTTTTTAAGTTTCTTCACCAGATTTGAATTCTCCTTCATTCTTGTAGAATTCTCCTTAGAGTGAATCATCGCATGCTTGGACATATTTTTCTAATGGCAATATTTCAGAAATTCTGCGTTGTAGAGAAAATACCAAGATGGTAATACTACGAGAGGATCTAAAAATTATGTTTTTACCCATTACTGTATTCTTTTGAATGATTCACTTGCTTTGATACCTTGAATATTCCCGTTTGTGGAAATGTTTTTCATCATTCAATTGTTGCTGGGCTTTAAGTATGGAGTTTAAGTATTTAATATTTTCCAACAGACAAAGACCAACATATTTTGTCGCGTAGTTTCCATCACCATAAGATACTTGGCAATCCCAAAGCTTTCCGGACTTAGGCTAAACGGTCTTCGTGCCTTGCCATCATTTCCAGCCTATTTTAGTTGAGAAACGGGGTTTTGATCGAAACTAACATCCGTTTTGTTCTTTTTAGTTTTTTCATTCCTTTGTCTTCCTTTGTTACACAAAAAATGCGAAATGAAATCGAATTCAAACCAGTAGCAAAAGTACGAAAGAAACCATTCCCAAAGAAACCATATCATTTGCAGTCACCCTTTTATTCAAAAGAATATTCAAGTTAAGAACCCATTTATTTATTCATGACATGGGTTAACCTTCTAAAGCTTCCTTCCTTTGACGCCCCCTTCCTTTGACGCTCTCTTCCTTTGACGCTTCCTTCCTTTGACGCTCTCTTCCTTTGACGCTCCCTTCCTTTGACGCTTCCTTCCTTTGACGCTCCCTTCCTTTGACGCTCCCTTCCTTTGACACCCCCTTCGTTTGACACTCCTTTCGTTTGACGCTCCCTTCATTTGGTGCTCCCTTCGTTTGACGCTCCCTCCCTTTGACGCCCCCTTCCTTTGATGCTCCCTTCGTTTTTGACGCTCCCTTCGTTTGACGCTCCCTCCCTTTGACGCCCCCTTCGTTTGACGCTCCCTTCGTTTGACGCTCTCTTCTTTTGACGCTCTCTTCCTTCGACGCTCCCTTCCTTTGACGCTCTCTTCCTTTGAAGCTCTCTTTGTTTGACGCTCCCTTCCTTTGATGCTCCCTTCGTTTGGCGCTCTCTTCCTTTGATGCTCTTTATGTTTGACGCTCCCTTCGTTTGACGCTCCCTCCCTTTGACGCCCCCTTCCTTTGATGCTCCCTTCGTTTGACGCTCCCTTCGTTTGACGCTCTCTTCCTTTGATGCTCTCTTCCTTCGACGCTCCCTTCCTCTGACGCTCTCTTCCTTTAAAGCTCTCTTTGTTTGACGCTCCCTTCCTTCGATGCTCCCTTCCTTTGATGCTTTCTTCCTTTGGCGCTCTCTTCCTTAGATGCTTCCTTCCTTTTAAGCTCCCTAAATTAACCACTTATTATCTTTCATATTTCTTCAAGATGTGCTTATTTCGAGCTTAAACAGGGTATGCACATCCATGCTGATAAAAATCGGCTGATTTTAACATGATCTACCGGCACGATCTTTATTAAGTTTGAGCAGACAATATGCAGTCTAAACCTGAAAACCGTTCAATAGTGACCCGCAAGGTTTTATCAAAAAAGTTTAAATTGCCACCTGTCTAAGATTATAACGGAGAATCTGTAGACTTTAGATCGTCAAATTTTTGAAGGAAGCGATCAGCGAAGTATGCAGTTAGTGGATGTCTTTTAACAGCGTTGACTTCTAGCCAGGATTTTGCCATCGTGTAGAACTGCGTGGGGACCAAACTCTAAGCAAAGAGTAGTTAAATCCGATCAAGGTGCACATCAGTCTTTGTGGTAATTTTTCTGTTAGGGTTAGTTGCAATTTCAGCCGAGGAAGTTCTTTGTATAAAAATGTAGCCTTTGATATGCACTGGTAGCTGAAAGTCCGCTAAAAGTAAAACTAAGGACGGCGCATGGTAGCTTGTTGCGATATGACGCGGGACAGTGCAGCATATGGCGGGAAGGGGCGAGCGGGAGACTATGGCTGAAATGGTCGCCTGCCAAAGATTGTTGTAAACCTGTAGTCTAACAAACGGCTTTCAGTGTTTTGCTCACATGGATGCTTGTACCGAATACCTGCTTAATGATCTAAGTGCCTAGTGCACAATATTTAATATTAAGAACGCAGACAGGTTCATTTTTCTTGTGTAAATTGCCACCATGGTATGCTTGAAAGCATTATTTGATCAAGTAGGAATAGAAAGTAGTCATTTGTAAACTAGTACCTTCCGTTGCGTCTACTCTTTTACCATTTTCTCATAAGATATAGTATATCTAGTTTTCCAGTTTCCCATCCAACTTACTATATATTAATATGGCATATTTTTGCTTGTTGTATCAAATTCACATTTTATTGCCAAAGGTTACTATATTAGGTATATGCTGCAAGGAGATTATGTTAAAAGGGTTTTATTCACTTTGCACAAAATCTCATCTGCCACTGTTTTTTACTCAGATTCAAAATCCTGTGAAACGGAAATCGATAGCTCGGTCCTTCCTGGCGTGACTGCGGACATCAAACTCAATTTTGATTCATCCCTTACCTATGCCGATCGCCTGATGTTGAAGAAACACAAAAAAGACCCCGATTCGACAGTTGCCTACAGCAGGCCTGGCACCAAGTACAATTCAAACTTGCTGGCGAAGAAAACAAGTTCTAAAGCAATTAATGCTTCGCCTAAATCCTCGCGTAGATCACCGCGTCTAGGGAAGTATAAGGGCAAAGATTCGCTCAATCGAATGAAGCCTCAAGCATCTTCGCCCAACAGTGATGCTAGTTTCCCCAAAGCGCTGCAGATTCAGCTGTTGCCTAGTGACGAGGATGAATCCAAGTATGGCAGCTCAGATCAAGAAGGATCCTCGCCGATTATAAACTATACGGTTGAGGAGAAACCACCGTCACGAAGCGATCGATTTACACTTTCACAGATGGGGCGTCTTGCAATTGTAGAGTTGAGTTTTTCAGATCCTGAAAATGATCCTAAATTTAAAGATGGAAGCTATCCGGCCCGTGCAAGTCATTCTTCTCTATCCTTAAAACGTGCGGCAAGTGGCATGAGAAACCAGCCTTCTGAAAGAAGTCGCACAACACCTCCCCACGGCGTATACTCACCAAGTGCACCTTCCAATACTTATGTCGCGCGGCAGAAGATACTCTTGGAGAAAAACAGAAGAGGTGCGAACGGAACAGAATCTTCTTCCTCGATAGTTAAAAAGGTTCTACGGCGAGAAGACAGGAAATGGAAACCTAGAGACAAGTATGTAGGTTTGGATTCATTCTTTATGGCTGGTGTTGAAAAAGAAAACATTGAAAATACTTCTGGAGATCATAACGATAATAGCAAATCTTCGGTCGTTGCTGACTCAAAAAACTTTCCAACGATTTCTATTGGTCTAGCTGACTCTTGGAGGCCGGAATCTAGTTTGTCACAAGTTGAAGAAAATTCTGTACACGGAAACAAATTAAGTGACTCTAAGTTGAAAGGGAATTCTTCCCGCAATGGCAAAACGCTTCCGCATGGTATAAGAGTTACCGTTGAAAACCTTCCGAGTAGCCTTGTTGAAGCAGATCAGTCGTCAACGATGGCTGCAAAAAGTCCAAGGATCGCCAAGTCAGAGCTGACCGCTGATGAAAACGGGACACCGCGTGTAAGCATGACGGACTTTGATTTTCTTAGCGCTATGCCTCCGATGCCAAAAGGTGACGACTTACATAAGCTGCACCGCGCGTCAACCGTAACACTGTTTGCGTTGAGTCCGCAGCCACCAGACGTTTGGAATGATGACAGTGAACTAGAAATTCCAAACTCTCCACTAAATAAAAAATGTGAGAACATGGAGATGCATATCAATGAAAAAGACGGGAAGAAAGCTACTAGCAATGAAACAGAGGATGATTTGGCTTTGAAGGAGCTGGCGAAGGATATTTTGCAAGTCAAGTGCGCGTCGGAAAACAAAGGACTTCAAAAAGTAGTGGATAATAACTGGGAGGAAGATAGTTTGAGTATTGAGGACAATGATGCTGGATCAGGCCTGACAAGCTCAGCTGATGGTGACACGTGTTATGAAAGTGAAGATTCAGACCTAGATTTACAGGAAAAGAAACAAGTTTTGAATTTGAAGTAAATAGTTATTCGTAATTGATTGCAGAGTTAGTGCGGTAAAATATATCATTGCTAAGCCACGGAATTGCTCTTTCATTCATTCATTTCATTCATTTTCAATTATATAAGCATGGTAGCCAATTCAGCAATTCTGGTTTACAAGGGGCCATGTATCTAAACTAAAAGAAAAACTAACATAAAATAGAGTAAAATGAATGGTTACAATAGATTTAAACACGATAGAATACGCTACCAAACCCCTTCCAACCTACCCTACCCTTGCAATCCTAACCTAGCCTCGCAATCCAACCCTACCCTCGCAATAATATTTCCGTGAGACACAAAATCTCACAAAAACATTTCCCTGCTTATTTCCGTTTTATCAACTCGCCCTCTTGGCTGGTTTATCTCGATATTTCCGAAGCATCTGCAATTCGAACGCCGGTCCAGAATTAAAAAGCTAAGCTCTTTTGCTATTATTCCTGTGATGTAATGTCTGTTTTATTGCACTTAGTATTTCAAACGTTTTGCCAGTTCATGGGCTTGTTAAGATACTATACAGCGAATCACTTTTTGTTTTTCTCTCTGAGATTTAATCTCTGGTTGATTTCTTTACATGTTGAGTTGCTATTATTGTATTGTTCATTGTCAAAATTGAAACAAGAATGTAGGCCTGTTATAGATGTACGTTTGCGGTGCGTTGCTGCTTCACTGTTTTCTTGGTAAGAAATCTCTTCTGCTATGATGTTTTATTTTTTAGATGGTATGCCCTGTTGTATTAATATTTGTTAGATTAAGTCGGCAAAACTGTATGAAAATGTTAGCAATTGTATTTTACAGTCAACAGCTAACATAAATGAAATGCGTTTTTGCAAAGTATTTTGTCTCTTATTTACACACACTGACCAAAGTATTTGTAACCTTATAACTGAAGTATTACATCTGTCTCAATAGACCCTTTCGCTTTTCGCCTGCAGTAAGAGGGATTATATATTACCTTTCCACCAATGTCTAAAATCAGAATGGGAATTCACCTGGTGGATCAGAAATTAAACAAGTAGAGTTTTAAATTTGCTGAGAAGTCATATCATTTCGTTTTCTGCGCTAAAATAGAATTGAATCGGACTGTAGTTGGGCGATTAAGTTACCTAAATAAATGTAATCCACACTCAATGGTAAAAGAACTGGGAAAGTGGGTTAGGTTTTCTTCAATTCAGCCCAGAGATTCATAAGAATGTCGCTAAAATCTCTGGTTTGATATTTAATGAGAGTAAAGAAAACTTCTGACAACAATTCTTAAGCATCTAGAAAAAACGGCAGTTTTCTTCAAACTCAAGGCTGTGATGTTGGAAAAAATTGCAGAGCAAGCCTCTGGATCTCATTTGTAACGTTTATAGTAGAAAAACAACATTGCAGTGTCCTACTTGAATATTCTCCGCACTGAACCCATTCATATCCATTTGTCAGTTTGCATGGGGGCTCGGAAAATTCAGGCATTTGTCAGACCTTTGAAAAACGTGCCCAAAGCCCTTCCAAGATCTTGTCTTGTGGGAAGATCGTAGGCCTGGGGCCCCCTCCCTAAAAGATACGAAAACCCCCTTTTCCCAAAGTCTTATTGATAACGAATAAAAGAGAAGAATTGTAGATTAATGCAAAATTTTACAATGTTACATGCCACATGCTTCTAAGCTAGTTTTTAGATTGAGGCATTGGTGTCAAATTCTCGATTATTTGAACCTTCTGTAACAAGTAAATAATTTAATAGTTAAGTGATTTTGTACTTTCGATACGCTGAATAAAATGATTCGAGAAACGCTATCACCATTACCAGAAACAATAATTATGTTGTACAAAGTATTTGATTAGTAAGGAGATGAAAATTGAGCCAAATGTGCGCCAGAATGTTGCTAGACACGAAGTGAATGGCGTTCTAACGGAAGCTGCAAAATCGTCAACACGATGTTAAATCAGAAACACGAGCACATGACTGTAAAGGTTGACCAATCAGTGCCGCTTGCCTATTAGAGTGTTACCAGTGGAGTCCTAAGGTGAAAACGAACTTCTTTTGTCTACACAGTAGCGGTTTTTTCGTGCTTATGTAGATAGATTCCAAAACTGCTAGGTGGATATAAAACCAAAACTGAGATATAAATCTAAAACTGATAGGCTCTAAAACTGCATTTTGAAGTTAATTCGCAATAGTGATTGATATGCACTGATTGATAATTGCGAGATCAATGTCTTATGAAAAGCTCAGATATTACTTTAAGTTAAGCGAAATGGATGTTACTATGTGAGATTTTAAAGTAATTTGAAATTGCGAAAGTATTCAAGATGTATTATTGGTGACGAAATTAAAGTCTATGAATTGGAGGAAAAGTGTTGAAAAATTTAGACAAAGTAGATGTAATACGGGGAAAGTACTTTAAATGTTTAGCCCAGTTTGATCCAGTAGCAGAATAAACTTTGATTGTCATGATTTGAGCTAAAAAAGTTCTGAAATGAGCCCAGAGAATTCCTTTTACGAGTGCTAGACCTCTCCTAACTTCCTCAACAAGGTTACCATATGCCTGCTAACGTTACCCATCAAACCTGACATCTAATAAGCTTTAATAAAGCACAACCTTTATCTGAAGAAATCGAGAAGAATAAAAGGTTATCTTTGTCTATATCCTCAATGCAATTTTTGTCCACTGTGTTTCTTTAACAGTTCCTTAAAATTGATTTTCGCTATTTCGACGCCAATCCTAATGTCCAAAACAATCGAGAATGTGATAGGTGAATCAATCAGCCTTGATTGGAAAAAATGCATCAACTACAGCTGGCTTATTCAATAAAACTGAAAATTTATGCCAATAACCAACGTCATGTTTTGAAGCCAACCAAAATAGCAAGTAGTTTCTTCCATTACCTTCTTTATTATTCTACAAACACGCTTTGTAAAAAGCACCAAAAATCCTAAATGCAGTGCAAAAAATATATCGTATAAATCACAATTGTCTTGCTCTTAAGCTCATAAACTTATTTTGCGATTGGACAGAGGAGCTTCAAGACACCGCACCTAATTTCGTTGCAACATCTGATCTTCAAAGACGACGTGAATCCAGTACTTGTATATCGCGGGCATTTTGAAATCATGGAATGGATAGAATGGATAGCTTATTTCTCTCAAAATTCTGGCTAACAGAAAACTTTGCGGTAATGGTTTACTGAACAGTGAACGCTCAGCGAAAAATTCAACATCGGTGGTAACAGCAAGGTATGAACCTTTGCAATTATTGTAGAAGATTTCACTACTCCTTTTCCTTGACTTTGAGATATATTTATATGCTGAACATATATTCCACGATATAAAGAGAATAAAGACGCTAAAAAGACAGGAAAGATTGAATCAACACATGTATAAAATTTTGAGCAACACATGTATAAAACTTCGCCACGCTTTGCAAAAACGACGATTTCAAGGATTTCGGGTAATATTTTCCACTATGTTGTTATTTTACAAAGATTCTATGAAATTTCTGTAGGGATTTCTATATAGAGGGTAAAAAAGGACTCTAAAAGGTATTGAGACAAACCAAAGCCGAGGGCATCTTAATAGAATATTTACCCCCAAACAGAAGACTTTCGATGTAATTCGCTAATCATTTTGTGATTGAATTGCAAGGGAAACTACAATCGACTCTGTCTAATTCGAACTTTTACTAATTAGAACAACATTTTCAGGTTACTTGAAAAGTTCCTAACGATAACTAACGATAACCTTTATACTGCAAACTTCTATAACTCGAACCGTTCTTAATTCGAACATTGTGACGATTTTCAGACAGTTCGAATTACACAGAGTTGAATGTAATTCTAATTATTTAGGTATTGATAGACATGAAATAATATTGTGATAGGAGTGAATATTTAACACAAAATTTCAGAAATCGTACGAAAGTCAGAACTCTATTGATTTTATTGCTTTTTTAGGCTTGGGAATCCGTATTGCAACTGCGCCTTTATGTGTCGAACATTTTTCACTGAATGGATTTTACCTTGGGTATTTGCTTTTAATGGCATCGTTGGCATTAAAACACCTAAATTTGGTAAGATAAGGGTTCTTACTTCGTCTTCTCGGTTCAAGGCAGATTCTAAGAAATAGAGGAGCATGTAATAGGATGTTGACTTTTAAAGTAAAGTCGTATTCAATTTTAGCTTTATTTAGTAGAATTATTTCGCAAAAGAAGTGTCTAAGGAGCTAGGGTAAGCTATTTATTGGTAGTAAGAAGATGAAAACTCTCTCTTCAGTCTTACTCATCATATTGCTTTTGATTAATATGACTGTCAACTTCAAATAATGTGGATAATCGAGGATAAAGAAAATCGGGATAAAGAGATAGAAATAAACTTTTGTGCTTAAAATGTATTTAATTGTCTTTGACAATGTCAATTCACAAGAGTAGGCCAGACATTTTGTAAAAATTGCAACCCGGAAATTTTAATGTCTTTGTTGCTTAGAAACGTGTGTTTATATACACCGAGGCAGGTGATAAAACATCCTCATGAGTGGCAGGGTTTTCATTCAAATTTCATATGTTGAGAACACTATTTTGTTTTCTGTGGAAACATATTTAACTTCAATCATCACAGTAATGTATGGATGTGGCCGTTATCTCCTCAAATAAATATTAAATTTGTTTCCTCTTTTTACACATTTAATTGATGTTAAAACAAACTTAGTTTTCTCCGTGGCTTCGTTTATGCCATTGGCACATGCGTTATTGCAAGCGTCAATACTAATTATGGCCGCCAACCTCCGCAGATATAGAAATCAGGTCAAATCTTCGATTGATTAGTGTTTCCAATATTGCCTGGTGAAAAGGGTCTTGTGCAGGAGAGAAATATCTGATGCCTGAAATTTCTTGATATCTCAAAGATTAATCAAGTAAGATAGACCTTAATGTATTCTAAGCTATATCTTAGAGAATTTAGATTAATTTACCTATAGTCAGGCTGCTAGTTTAAAGTGTAATTTTATAATTCAGAGGACTATTTTAGATCAGTAATTTTCTAATTGAAAGACCGATTGATGAGAATTGATGTAGAGTTGCTTTCTTTTTTATCCCGAATCTCTTTGGTGCAGCAGAACAGGATGCAAAACTTTGTCTTTGTATATCTTACTTAGCATTGCCATTCATATACCACAAAATTGCCTGAAACACTTTGTTTTTAAAAAAAGAATTCCCCTTTTCCTACTGTACCTCTTCAAATCTATTTAACATTATTTCAAAAAAAATTCCGGAGTCTTTTAATTTGCTTCACTGCTACGATGTAAATGGATGTAGCTCATATCAACTTAAAGGCCTTTAGGAAAGAGAACAAGACGAAAGAAGAACCCCTCTCCAAATTCGAGGCGAAAGCTCTTTTCCAAGATATTTTTCCTTCGTTTCAATTTTCTTTCTTTTATCTACTTTCATATTCTATAAGAAACCGTCTTTAAAGATTGAGCACAAAGATGATCAAAAAGATAGGAAACCATTGTACTAATCACCCTCAACGTTGAAGAATCTAATCAAAATTCCTCCTTTTAAAGATGGGGTTGAAAGGCCTCTTTCGACAATTAGGTTCCTTTTTCTGTTTGATTGACATATATATCAGATGAATAGAAAAAGACTGGTTAGCTCCTTGAGACATTTTTGTTTCCTGTTTCATGTTACCCCATGTTACATCTTGTGCTTCTAAAATGTAGCTCTTAAACAGTTCTAAGTGCAAATTGTAGCTCTTTCACAGTTCATGAATCTAAGTGCAAATCCAGAGCTGCGTTTCTGATAAGAATAGACTGTACAAGTGTGACCTACTAGTCTCATTCTGAATAATGTCAACTTAAAACGAAGTTACTTTCAAAATCTTTCTACCAAAAATTAAAGTTTGATCTATTTTGATTTTTTTCAATATTGTTTTTAGTTTAAACAGTTTAAAGCGAACACTAAACAGATGAAGATGAAATATTAGTTATTTGCGAGTTTTCATGTTTTTTCTCTTGTGTACATTTTGGAGCGACATTTTGGAGGTTCTTTTTACAATGGCTTGAGCGCAGTTTCTTACTATTTGTGTATCACCTCATTCAACATTGGTTTGGGATTAGCTTTGGTCAAAGGATTGAACAAAAGGTTTTCTCAATTGCCTTTTTTTCTTTGCATTTGCCTCACCGTTGTTTAGACTTCTTTTCAAAATGATTAAATCTAATCACTTGTTGATAAACAAACCATAAAACATTGATGTTGATTGTCAGGGTGATGTTTAACAGGTCCAGTTTTTCTGCAAAAATGATTCAATTAACTTTAATCTTCACTGCCGTTGTACAAAACGACAAAACATTTCCTAGTTGTTCTGTCGGTTCTAAAGTTTTTATTGGTCTTTTTTAAATTTGCGATCAGTTTTCGAAAACTGAAAACTGTCAGTGATCCTGTATTTCAGGCTTAAGGCACAATACCGGAAAGAAGATGACTGGAAACCACTTTTTAACATTGGAAAAGAGTTCACACTTTTCTTAGGTGATTTTGGAAAAAGATTAAAAACCGTCTCAATTGCGCTACATGTGCAAGGTGTATTTATTTCTACTCTCTTAAAAACCTGGCGAAGTAAAGGAGAGAAAGAGACAACTAAATGTTCTGTGACTAAAGTTGTTGCTGACAATTAACGAATCTTTTTCCCTGGGTGTGGTTTATGAGTCAAGATTTTAAACCCTTCTTCAAACAAAGAATGCGTTTTTTGTGTTCTGATGTGGCGCATGGAGTTGCTTCATCGCCAGTTTCTGATGAAAAGTCACCATTTGCTCTTAACATTTATAATTCCCATACTATTAACATCTGTTTTTCGGGGATTGTGCTATTAAAGCTACATTCTTATCATGCATGTTAGCATTGTCCTCAGATTTGCATTATAAACCTATTATTAATTCTGTTACAAAAGGTTTTGCAACTCTATGTAGACGACTTTTTTCTGGGACGATGAGCAATGCAATGAAGAAAAAAACATCATCGATCAAAAAATGTCAGGATATATGAATCAAGTCAATAAAACTGTAAGCTTAATGTCAAAGCTAATGAAGAAGACAGTTTTTCATTATTTTATTTCAATTTGTTGAAGAAAAAACAACTGGATCTCGAAAGTGATAAATGTTACTTTCCGATCTGCTTGCTAAATGGCATTATTTCCCTCCAGCACTTGGGACAAACTGCATGACAATGATCGATTAGATGTGTTACTCAACCCCTAACCTTCTTGCAGAAAGGCTGATTGTTGGTGTTGCATTGATTGAATGCCTGATAAATTGTTTTACCCATCTCCATGTCATCTCCTCCCCTTGCCGTTCTAAGAGAATTAGCATTTCTTACAATGAATTCAACAGAAGAATCCCCCGTGCTTAATGAATTCTCGGAGCATAGAATAAATGTATTCGTTTCATCCATTTTGATTTTATTTGCTCGGGTGCAATCAAAATGCACTGTTTGATAAAGCACCTGTTTTCCTTTAAGTCAAATGACAGTGTGTTAACGAAGAGTGTATTTTTTATACTGTGAACGACTGACTGACTGATCAAATGTGTACCTTATGTCGTAGATTCAATACCTAAATCTACTGCATGCCTTGAAATAGAAGCAGCGAAGCCTTACACCTGTTGATGACGATCGACAACATAGAGGTATGGCAAGGAACCACGAGAAAGAAACGTGCCTTTTTCTGGAATGGCTTGATGTGCCTGACAGCAAGGCAGTAAAGTCGACTGCCATTATAACAACCATCATCGGCTGCTTTTCATCACTTGGTGCAATTCTAGGCAACACACTTGTCCTTTTTGTCTTGATCAAGTTCGACCGGTTACACACGCCTTCAAACACGTTGATTGGCAGCTTGTGTGTTAGTGATCTTTTGACTGGGTTTATCGTAACCCCTTTTTCGGCAGCTCGACGGTTGCAAGAAGCATACGGGATTCGACCTTGTGTTTTACGACTAGTTTGCGCGTTTTTCGCCTTTCTATGTCTCGCAACTTCAATTGTTACAGTTGGTGGGATCAGTATCGACAGATATTTTGCCGTTGTTATGCCATTCCGATATCGTAGAAACGCAACAATTTTCCGATATCTGATTATAATAGCTATATCTTGGACATCACTAGGGTTGATTACGCTTTTTCCCTTCATTGCTGTTATTGATACGAAAACATTTTTTCAAGTTCTCTTTGGGCTCATGGGTGTATCAATCGTAGTATTTCTAATTACATATGCAAAAATTTCGAGAATCGTGAGGTCACATCGCCGCAAAATATGTTCGGTTCGACACGCGTCGTATGTAAGTAACGACTCAACTGCTAGTGAAAGAGTGCTTGCTATAAGGGAGAGTAAAAAAGCCAACACGATCGCAATAGTCATTGGGTGTGGCTTATGCTCCTACATGCCCTTGGCAGTCATGTTCATATTACGCGGGACGATCGGCGATACAGTCGAACTTGTTACGATAGCTGATCCTTGGGCAGATCTCTTTTTGCAAGTAACGAGCGCCATAAATCCGATCATTTACTGCATGCGATCAAGCGATATCCGAGATCATATCTCTCGTGCTCTACCTGATCGACTTGAGCGTCTGTTTGTGAGAATTTTTCGAAAACGGTGATCAAGTGCATATATTCAAAGAGCCTAGCAAAAAACTGAACATTGCATGCACTTCTCTGCAAGAAAACAGACGAGTTGATTTTCAAGCAAAGATTATCTTGCAAAAATGGAGGACCTGGATTCACGAGCTAGATTTTCAAAGGTGTTTTTCCCAAACGAAAGTCTAAGCTAGTCCGCCTTTTAATTCTGTAGCAGTAAAGGACCGCAGAATGCAAAATTTGCAAGTCTGTTATACCAGGTCGTTGTACAACAATACTTGTTTGGAGAGTGATTAAATGGTTATTAAATCTCCCCAACCGGGTAATCAGAGTTGGTGCGTGGATGAGGCAGTAGTCCCAAACACCCTGGGGTGTAGTGCTAGTTGGCTCAGGGGGTGAGCCCCTTTGTTAATGCCAAAAATTAGTAAATTTCTACCTTTGCTATTGTTTTTCGCAACATTTTGTGCAAGAGCCCCCCTTGTTTTTTATAGCACTTCACCACTGTAGACACCCTCTATCCCTCTGTAATTTACTCAAAGAAGAATTTGGTTAAAAGGAAGGATGATACTCGGTATAGCTCCACTTTTCTTGCCAGTGAAGGATTGTTCATAAAGAAAGCAAACTCTTTAATTTTGCACCGCTTAGAAAAATTTCCTAGTTGCACCAATGGACCTTTTGTGTAAATATGTAAATTTCCTCTCAGGAGAATTGTAAACTCGTTGTGCCTTGTGTTAATGATTAGTGGCTGATTCCAATACAAAAGCCTTTAGGTAACTTCCGACTTATGTTAACGGGTCTACTTTGCCTATATATATTGTCATTTATATCTAATCTCTTAGTACATATACAAATAATGATTAGTTAAAGCATATATAGTATATAGTAATTTTTGTACATACGTATACGGAAGTAGCCATAATGCTACTGTTTACATCAAGAGGCGTTTTCTTATACATTGGTTGCTTGATAAATCTTTCGATAAGCAGAGAGAATTAAAAAAGCTTTCTTTTCTGTGAAATTTCAAAAAATTGCAATGGCCTGTTTATCTTTCGAAAGTGTCGATTTCTCTCGAATTTCAAAAGAAAAGGTGATAAAATTTGAATGTCTAGTAAGGAAATTTTCTTCTTTAACTTACTGAAAATGCCTATAGACAAAGAAGCAAATATATACCTTTGAACGTTATTGTTTTGCAATATTTACTCTGTCAGTCGGTTAAGATTGATATAATTGATCAAATGGTTGATAACATTCCCTATCGACTCTGTCTCTTCTCTCAGCCCAATCCTAGATCGGCGGTCAAAGTGGCAACATCCAGCGTCACTGTCATTTTCAAATTCAACTACCGAAGAATTGGTGGCAGAAAATTAAGATTCTGGCAGTTATCCAGCACATTGTAAACGGGAGGGCAAAGTGGACAAAATTTGTGCGGCACAGTGTAAACGCAAATCAATCCGAACAACTTTTATGCGGATAAAATTTATCCGGCACAGTGTAAACGGGGTGTTGACAGAAATCTGTCAAGTGTTGACAGAAAAAAATAAGATTCCAGAAAAGCAACGGAACATCGTTTTGCTGATTTGTTGACTACAAATCATTTTCGGAGCAAATTTATTAGACAGAACATCGAAAATATCAAAATTCAATCTTCTCAGTGATTTTAATTTGATGTAAATTTTTAGCAGGAAGATAGTCGAATTGCAAAACAAGAGCATTTTCAGACAGAATTGAACTGGCGCGATGAATATTCATATTGTTTCTAAGCAAAGTTTTAAAATATTTCCTTTGAAATGAATTTCTTCAAATGACTTAACAGTAACCACAAATCAATCATTGCTATAATTATCCCGACTGGAAACCAACTTTGACATGACAAAGTTATAAGGACGGCGAATGAAAAATTGCCTTTGAAAAAACGGGATTCTATAAATGGCGGGATTCAATAGAAATGGCGTCAGCAAAAAATGGAAACTTGACAAAAATATATATTTGCCTTTTTGTTACAAATATAAAAAAACGATGAACATTTAATATATTAAAGTTTTAATGTATAGCGTCTTTCTTTGATTCCTTTTTTCCATGCAAATTTCGATATCAATGTTTCCATTTTTTTGTATTAAATTCAATCTGTGAAACTATGGTGAAGCTAACAACAATTTTATTCTAAGGTCTTTGATAAACCAATAAGTTGTCTGAAATGGCAGTTTTAGGAGAATAGAGTATTCACCCAAAAGATTGGCTTAAGTTTTATTGTAGCGACAGGAAAGATTTATGTGTAGAAAAAAAGTTGTTTGAGAAATGCATGACGTGCTGCTTCGATCTTCTAAAAGCAGGCACCACGGCAACCCGCCATGTAAATTTGAGATATATTCTAATACGAGAAATTCAAGCAACATATTGTAGTATGAATGAAAGTTATAACAATATTGCACATGATAATCCGTAAGCTCGTGATTCATCGGCCAATTTTGAATTGGCACTGCTAGGAAGCGAAATTGGCTTTGTTTACAACCAACCGAAATTTAACTTCCTAAACTGCATGCATATTCTTTGATTCACAAATTGCGTCGTTTTATAATTTCAAATTAAATGAACATTAAGATAGCTCACCTTTACTTGACTTGCTTTTTCTTGCTTTCGTTGTATCTTTAGTGTGCAAATTTGTTGTATTCTTCCAAAATTGGATGCAAAAGATGCTAAGAGACTTCCACGTGGCCTACTGTTAGCCGATACTACCCCAGTGAACTTCATAACGAGGTAAAATAAACATTGAACTTCACTAATGAATCTTGATTGTCCCTGTTACCAAATTCAGAATCATGTCGGATTCGCAAAAGAAAATTAAAAGCGAGAAATTAACTGGAAATGACATTTCCATATTCTGGACATTTTATCAACTTACTGTAGCATTGGTTGATGCTTTGAACTGTAACGTTGTCCAACAAATTAAAGGCAATCTGTCACGACGTTGATTGATTATAAGAACAAAGGGGTTTTTATTGTTTCCAGTCCCCCTTCAATTTATCGCATTGTAAAAAATTTGGCGGAGCGCTGGAATCGTGTTTAGACTATTGTTCCAGCTATTGTTCTCGTTAACCAATCCACAACGAGACAGATTGCCTTTAAACTTTAGATCGCTATAAAAAATTTTCTTTTTTGTTACAGGGATGGATAGACAAAATGAAGTACCCTATCGATAACGACAATCTATTTTTGCCCACAATATTAATTGAAACTTTCTAAGTAGAAAAGATTTATCCCATCTGTCATTACTAAAAAAAGTAGAACAATTTAACGTTAACTATGTAGCTTTTTCTTGTCAACAGCTTTGTCCATCTGACATGTTTCAAATATGAAATAGGTTAAACTGACAGGAGCATCTTAAAATATCATTAACAAATATAACAACAACTTTGTATTGTTCAAAAGCCCTTAGTCTTCGAAAAATACTCGAAAAATAAAATTTTATCTGAAAAACCCAACTGTCGTTTTTCCAGAAAATGCAACCATTTTAGTAAAAGACCCAATAGGACTAATAGAAAAAAGGAATTGTGAAGCTAATGTTCTAGTATAGAACATTTTTGTACCGATCTAGTTGACATTTTCAATAATCAAGAGGTCAAGAAGATTGTCATTTGTAAAGAAAATAAAGTCTACGATTGGAAAATCTGTTTTCTGTTTTTTACTTATGACTGTAATCCCACCGGTTACCATACTTTCTTATTGGCGGAAAGAAAAAACGCAATAAAATCTTCGACATAATTATTTTATTCTTTTCCTTACAGAATAAAAAGGAACCAAATGAAAAAATTAATGAATAACACACAAATGTTGAAAAAACAAACTGATCTTCCAGGAGATCTTTCTCAAAGGATTTAAGACGAGTTAGTGCTACCCTGAAATATACTAATCGGAGTTTAAGGCTATTCCAGTTAATAACTGAGGAGTATTGAGAAACCCCTTGTAAATTTTGGACCCAGGTAGGATCCTTGAGGAATTCACTTTTCATTATATTTATGGTGATTTCCTCTATCTTGAGCAGGACTATATTATTAAACCTTTAGTTTCTACATCATCATGCTTGTCAAACTAGGTATCAAGATTTCATGATTAGTAGCATCAAAAGCTCTTTTCAATTCCATGTATGTTTCTATGAACAGTTCATACTTGTAGTTCATATTTGTTGTCCAATATATGGCAACATTTCTTTTGAGCGACTATTTGATAATCTGAGTTGAGCAGAGCAATGCAGTTGGCGAATGAAAAAGACGTTATCAATTTTACGAGGCCCTTTTTAACAATCTGTTGACTTCTTGATTGCTCAAGATCAGCAAACTTTTAAAAATACTTTGTAAACAAGAACACATGTTAAAATGATAAATTGCTTGTTTCTGTTAAAGCCGAGAGGAATATTGCCTTTTTGACTTCGTCAGGAAAGGCATCAAATGGCTATATTGCGTACTTTAGGCAGAATGCATTGCGTGGGTGGATTGAACAAGACCTTAAAGTCAGCGGTGTCCTGTAAGTACGAAAATGAAAGTATCAGTGCAAGAAAAGGATTTTAGAAAGTATGCTAGAAGATGTCTTACTGGCTTAGTTCATTGATAGTGCACCGCAGATCCCCTGATATTAGCAAATATCCAGTCACTCCGTCATAAATTCACTGTGACTTTTAAGGAAAACGTTCTGCACTCATATTTTGGTAAGAAACTTAGCTCGTGATTAGCACTCAGCTTCTTCATTTTTGCTGAGCTTTGTGCTAAAAGTATCTTAAGTGCCAATTTTTCTGAAATACCAAATGCCACAGAGCTCTTTAAAAACACACAAACATAAGCCAACATGAAGTAATCAACCTAGTGGGTCTCAATGGGCTCTTCTTTCTATTTGTCTATGTAAATTTAAAGGAATAGATGCTCAATCGTCCAAAAGAATAATTCCCACCTCATCTTAAAAACAAGGATTTTCGAGCAGTTTCTTAAGGTTGACGGTAATTAGTTCTATGGTTTTTTAATTCCATGGTTAATCCCTGGTCAAACGATCCAACATTTTGTCTAACACTTCGTCCAACATTGTCACGCGCAGATCGAATAGGGACTGGGTAAAGGGTCGCGCTGAAAGCTGCACAGTTTCGCAACATTTCGATCCGAAAAAACGAAAGGCGATCGCTGCCTTCACTATTTATTTTCTCTTCAGATATTTCCACTGTCGTCGCGGTCTCTTAGGATGAGCGTCGTATCCCTTATCAAGGCCTTATCAAGTTCGCCCCCCTGCGCTTTATTGTAGCTCCTCTGTGCTATAGGCTCTTCGTTGACGCTTTACGCCTCTTCTTTCGCACAGAATTCGTCATATTACGTTATATTGTCCATAATTTAAGTGCAACTGACTGTAAGCAAACGCGGTTGTTGAAACGAACGAAGCCAGCCCGAGAAAACAACAACGATGCGATGATTGAATTTTGGCCAGTGCTGCCACGTGCAATATAACATTGCGCGTGCGCGTGCGCATAACCAACAATGTTGGCTGAGGTGTTCAAACGATCCAACATTTCACCTAACACTTCAAAACAATAGAATTGTTGGATGTCGGCTGCCAACTTTTTTTACCTCAGTCAAATTTCACCCAACATCAAAAGTGACGATGCTGGATGACCCAACATGGTGGTCAGACGATCCAACATTTCACCCAACATGATGTTGGGCGAAATGTTGGGTGAAATGTTGGATCGTTTGATCAGGGCATTGATGGTTCCTTAAAGAAATGAATTTAGTTGAGAGGAGAATGGGATGTAATCTGCCAAACAAGTTGTAGCCTGCATGACGAAAGAGGCTGCAAGTAGGCTTAACAAATTGCAGCTGACCTAAAAAGTAAACCAGCCAAAAAGTTTTATTTGTGTAGGTGTAGACACAAATTAAACCATATTTGCTTTAAAAAGAAAGTCAAAGAATCAATGTAAATTGTGATTGGTTATTGCAAGTTCACCAGCAGGGCCGTCGCGAGGCAAGCCTTGTTAGGGGGAGGGGGGGGGGGGTGTTGTGGACTACAAATTTACCTGATTAAAAAATTATTACCTGAAGTTGCTGTCACAAACCTCTGCACTACATTTTGCCAATCTAACTGTGTGGCATATAATTGGCGACATTCATTTTAAAATGATAATAACCGACTTTCCTAATGGTTTTGCCAAATCTGTATACCTGGAGGGGCAACTACCTGAGGCGGCACCATGGTTGCCGTGGAAGGAGAAAAGAATTTTCGAATTTTGATGCTTCCAGTTCCCTGGAAAATGCACTCTTTTAAGTAAATTTTACTTAAGCAATCCTCCTAATCCTACCGAGAATTCTTTTATTTTTGCAAACAAATTGAACAGCAGATAAAAACAACTGCTATAATTTCGCCGTGGTCTTGAAAAATTCCATGATGTCAGTTATTTCTAAAGCTAGAACAAGCAGCACTGGTTGCCAATTTAGATCCCTCTTTCCATCTTAGCATGCCTTTTTAAGGGAAATGGACACAAGACACAATTTTACCTGAAGAGTGCCTGGATTTTTAGCTTTTGTGCCAACAAGAAATCTTCAAATCTTCAAATCATTAGTTTTTTATCTTCCTTCATATCAAGAAGTATCATATTTAGCCAAAGGAGCAACTATCTTTGCTTGATCATTTATCGATGCTAGTACATGAACGTCGCTGAAATACTTAAAGCGTTTCTTCCACTGGGCGGATTTTACCTGAAATTTCCTATCGAGATACTATTGAGGGAGGGGGGGTGTGACATCCCCCCACATCCCCCCGGTCGCGACGCCCCTGTTTACCAGCTAAAGCAGACACCCTAGGCAACAAACATCGACCCCGAAACCGTCTAATTTTCTCAGCTAGACGCACAAAAATCCGCTTGTCTGCTTGGCATTATGTTTACACGCTCGAAATTTTGTGGCTCTGGTACCCAGGGTAGCGCACTGAATGGCGAAGCACCATCAGAAGAGAGACCGAATCTTTTGAAGCTAAAAGGAAAGCTGATCTGAAAGCCAAACTACAACGAAAAAGGAAGGGGCTACGCATCACCGCCAATCACATGTGACAAGTGCTCACGAATGTTAAGAGCACAAATCGCGCTCCTCGGCCATTTACGAACAAATCACACCGATTCGTATCGGAACGTAAAAAGCATACCAGGGGATGCGCCTCAAGCAACTGTATACATTCTCAGACTTCTAGACTTGCCAAGGGTACACTTTTTTGCAAATTTGTTTTATCTGCTAACACAAAGGGCTTAGGAATGAATCTAGCCAAGGCCATCCTTTTTCAATTTTAGTCTAGCCGAAGGTACCATTTTGTAGAAATTGGTCTAGCCAATGGTACTACTTTGCATGTGTTCGCGGCATGCCCCCTTCCCTAAACTTGGCTAGAACCCGTCCTACGGTGTCAAAAGATACCAGCAGCCTCTAACCAACGCCTTTTGTTAGGAAAGCCAGTGAATTGTGAAAGAGTATCTTTTAGACTACAGTTTTTACTGTAGTCCCTAACCTTGGAGTTGGCTATTCACAGCAAACTGATGTTTTATTTCAGCTGGCTCGATTTGATTTGGCCTTACCATTTCTCGTTTTTGAAAATGCTTTTATACCATATTTAAACAGATGATGCGCTGTGATTATTGAAATCAACATAAATGTTCAGCTACTGAAACTTTTGCAGTGTATTTTAAGATTTTAAATCTTTGGAGCATACAGCAGTTGCTTGCATTGTGCGCCCTAATCCTCGACACTTCGGCGAAAAGCGAAATGGAGTTTCTTTTCTGTCACGGCGTAAATCATATTCGCCAACTAGGATTTGGCAACAATTTATCTATAGGCGTTCGCTCAAAAATTGATAAATGGTAAAAAGTAATTTGCCTTTATGCTTGCGCTGGATCTCGTAAAAGGCGGGCCAGTCAGTCATTTCAAGCCTTGAAAATGATTGGTGCAGACTTAATTTTTACAGTAAATATATTTTCATGGTTCTTTTTTAAAGGGTTGAAAAGCTTTCGCTGCGATTAACGAAATAGGCAAGACGGCACTGGATCCTCGACAGAGTAGGACCAGAATAGTCAGCTTTTCTCTCAGACATGTATCAGGTATCATATAAAACTAAAACATGAAATTTCGTGATTTTGTTTTCTAGGCTAGCTTGATTTCAAAAATTGCAGAAGCGCATCGCATCTTCTACGTAGAATGTCAAAGTCACAGAATTCCTTATAAGGATTTTTTCAATAAGGAAACTATTGTTCAATGAACTGCATTTAGAAAGCATAAAGATAACAAACAACATCCAAGTATGACAGATAAACATTTTTGACCGAATAAAATAACATTGAAAAATGCTTGTTACAATTCATGGAACAAATTGTAATTGATAAACGATTTGATGTCTACAGTTGAGGCTCAATAAATGGACAACTCCTCATAACAGATAAATCCATGTTACAATGCAAGTTAAGGCTAAATAGACAGGCAACTCCTCGTTAGAGATACCATCCTTGTTACAATGCATGGAACAAATTGTAATTCATAAACGATTTGATGCCTACAGTTAAGGCTCAATGAAAAGACAAATCCTCATAACAGATACATTCCTTATAGCGAAGACTTTTATAAGGCAGACACCTCCAAGCAAAGAAGAGGCAAGTTTATTGCAAAAATGTATCTTAAGAGTGAAAGCTTTGAAGAAGAAACCTCAACGACTTCATTGCTATTGGTACCTCTTGGTCTTAGAATGTAACATTGGCTCCCTGTGTGTCCGTTTTGTGGACATACTGCTATCAAGCAAAACATCAAAAGAAACTCGTTGGTTTGATCCAACAGCTTTTCTCTACACTTTGACTTAGAGATTGGTAAGGAGGCAGTTGATAATTTCAATGATTAAAGATCAAAATGATGACAATAAAGCATTTATTCTATATGTTTATGATCAGTCCCATCCATATCTATTCATAATTCTGTGAATAATAATAATAATGGAAACTTTTCATTTTGAATTCCAGTTAAAACTACAATTACAAATCTCACTATTACAAGGTAATTTGTAACTAGCTAGCCTGTTTTTACAAAATAAAACTATTACAATCGCAGTAATGAGAAAAGAAAAAAATGTTAAAAGGGGAGTAGCTCTAGATTAGTCCAAGATTTGTTTCTACAGCAGAATATACACATGTATAGTCACACATGTCGATGAATGAGCTGCAGGAGTTGCCAAAAATGCCAAGTGAACTGATGGAAAAATTGACAAATGAAACAGACTTAAACCGATGTTTTAAGTCAGATATGAGGTTGGCATATTTCTCTGACTTTCTGACAGCATTGCAGCTGAGATTTTTTTCAAAGCCTATGGTTAGCTCTAAAACGTACAGATATATAATAATAATATTAATAATAATAATAATAATAAATATAATAATAATAATAATGGAAATATTTCATTTTCAATTCAACTTAAATTACAATTACAAATCTCACTATTACAAGGTAATTTGCAATTGGCTAGCCTGGTTTTACAAGAAAAAAACTATAACAATCGTAAGGTAAAAGGAAAAACTGAGAAAAATAAAACAACCAAATTTAAAACGGATGTAATTCCGGATTTGTCCATGGTTTATTTTTGTAACAAAATATGTAGTACGTAGTACGGATGGCAATGTTGGAAAGTTTAGAGATGAGATACCGTTTTTGTTGTTGATCGATGGAGAGATTCACACATTTTGAAGAATGAATTGCAGGAATTGCCGAAGATGCCAAGAAAAGCTCATTAGAAAGTCTAACAAAGGAGGACACATTTGAACTGCCGCTGATAGACCAGATAAAAGAAGAGCCACATTTTACTGTGTTTTCTTGTGGCATTCGTTTAAGATTTGGATTCAGAAGCCAAACAGTTTAGCTCTAAAAGAGAGGTAAATTAGTTGTAGTCCTCAAGAGAAGATCAGGGGCGAAGGTTTTCTCCAGTTATGATTGATGGTGATAAAAAACCAGGTATATCAGCGTAGATGGTAGATTCATTGACAGCTTTTAGTGACGTAACTAGAAAGTTTAGGATAGAGTTATGTCACCAGGTGTATCGGCCTTGATCCAGATATGTTTTGCAGCCAGCAACAACGTGAAGGAGGGTTTCTGGCAGAAAACAGAAAGAACAGTCAGAGTATTGTTCAGGTACCTTATGGTGAAATTTAAAATATTCTGAGGCATGCTACTTTGCACCTTGGACCAAAGTTTGTTTATTTGTGGAAGTTTCTGGTTAAAGAGATGTGATAATAAAGATCCTTGGGAGGTTAGGATGTTTTGCAGACGATCTTTATGCTCATGCTGGACAGCCTTTAATGCTTCTTTGGTGTTCCTATATATATCATATTGTATATTTGTGCTACTGCTGGTATTTTTCCATAAAGAGCGAATATTATCATTTGGTGAAGATTTCAAATGGTGTATTTCCAATGAAAATAAAGAAAGTAAACTAAACAAAACCTAACCTAGAGTAAACAGTAATAAAAATGCACCTGATAAAATTTTACATTAAAAATATAGATGTGAAATATAAATGTCAGGGCTTCGGAGTTCACTTCAAACTTATTTGTCAAGTTTAATGTAATTAAACTCAAAATGCAAAATTTGATTTCAAGGTTCAGAAATCTTTGAGTGTTATGAATTTGTTTTCAGAGTTCAGCTTTAAGATAAGATCAGGTCATCCCGGTTTAGATTCAGACGTTTCGTTTATAAGATTTCAGGCTTAAATAAAATAGAATCACCTGAATTTCAAGCTTCCGAAATCAGGCACGTCATGTAAGCATTGTGAGAATCCTCATAATCAAGTTAGTGAATAACCGTCTTCTGCATTTGTGAGATAACATTGAATAACATTTGTGATATAATGCAAAAAAAAGCATATTAAGATCATCCTGAACAAATAGTCCCCAAACAAATATTCCTGGGTGTTTACCTCTAGACCTATTTTCACCCCCCCCCTATTATTTTCCTATCACTACAGCCCTAATGTTGCTGTTAGTAATCCTTAGAAAACTGTTAAAATGGACCCTATGGCTTTAGTCCTACTGTTAGCAACACTTAGGAAGCAAATTGAAGTTAAGTGTTTGAAAATCATATTGAAAGAATCTACCAATTTATCCACAACTTGATGGAGACAAATCTTGGTTATTATATCAACTCTGAAACTAACCATGATACTTAATTCTAAAAAGACATTTACTCGAACTAGAAGAGATGAATTTCTAAGCTCTTATTCTAATGCAATATCTATGCATTATATTTCTTTTACCGAATTGGTAATATAGTAACGATGGCAATGTTTGAGCAGCTTTTCAGATGTCTTGGTTCTTCTCAAAGTAAAAGGCGTTGATCAACTTACTGAATCAGTAACCCCCTTTGGCAAACAGTCTGCCTCAAACACACGTCAGTTCGACCTCTTTGTCAACATGGTGGTTTTCGTACCCTCGTCTTCTGTTCATGCACTGGCATAAAGCGTTGTACACCTCTTTCAAGGCAGAACGAATTTGCGGCTTATAGATACCGTAAAGAATTGGATTGATTGCTGAATTGAAGAATACTAGAATCATTGTGGCTGTTGTCACCTCTTCGGGAGAACACCCTTTACAAGCTATATTAGCTGCAAGGTTGATTATGTAAGGCATCCAGCAAAAAGCAAAGACTCCAACGAGCATAGCGATAATCTTGGCAGCTTTCGTATTTGCATCTTGGGTTGATGTTGAGCCACTTCGCGAAATTTTTCTTTTTATGGCCGATTCCACTGACTTTTGCTTTGAATTGGAACTTCCATGTGAATTTTTTCGTAGCATCGCCCGGGCTCCAGACGCTGAATGTTTCCTCGACGTGAGTTTCTTTCCAAAATCTCTCCGAGCGATTTGCAGGATCCAGATATTCATGATAACAATAAAAAGCAATGGAAAGATGAAATTTGCTATTAACTGGAAGACTGCATATTCGATTTCGAAAAAGAAGAAGCACTGCCCTCCTGAAACAATTGTTGGGAAGCTTCGCCAGCCCATTATCGGCAAGCAGGCCGTCACTGATGTGTAGACCCAAGCGCACACGATTATCGCAATGTTCCGCTTCGTCGTAAACAACCGACCAGTTCTGTGCAGCAGCGGAAACCGTATCGCACAAAACCTCTCGAATGTCAGTATCGAGAGGTTGACAGTTGAGGCCGGTAAAGAGAGAAAAAATATAGTGTTTGATACTTCGCAGATTCTCTTGTCAAACGCGAAATACCCGCGAATTAGCTGATCGACATCGAACGGCACAACCGTAAATGCGATTATTGCATCGCCTATCGCCAAGTTTGCGATGAATACATTCGTGGCCGTATGGAGCTTTTTGTAAAAACAGATAATAGCAATCAATGTTATATTTCCTACAATAATCATAACTACAGTAATGAGAAGCAATGTTATGTAAGTGTATCTTATACCCGTCGAATATTGTGACAAAATGTAGCCATATGGAGCTGATGAGGACGTCAAGGTCTTCAAAACAGCTGGCATCAGAGTTGTGTTCAATTTCTCTGTGGTGATGTTGGTTACGGTTGAGCTTTGGTTGAAAAACATGGCCATTTCCTACAGTTTCAATTTCATTTCATGTCTAAAACGAAATAAAATATTCATGATTAAGGATATGATAATGTCTGTTGCGAAGGGGCGCAGTGGGAGTTAACTTTTTGGGGGGCAAAGCTGAAAATTTTCCGATAAAACTATGATTTTTCCGACAAATTTTTTCTCAATACATTCCTTGAAGATTACCCTTGCTGCATATACTGCAACACTTGATACTACAATATCACGAATGGATCTGGAAATTGTTAACGAATGGATCGTTCGTTATACACTTTAAAGTTCAACAATAGCCTTTATTCTAACAAAACTTACCAAATATAAATCGCTATGAACAAAACTGCATCTAGTTATAAATTTACACCCTACAAGCCTTCTCGCTATACTAGACAATAAACTGTCACGTTAGTGTTTATAACTGTTTATAGCAAAAAGGTTTTTATGGCAAGTTTTAAATCGCATTATAATTACTTTGCACTTATTTATGCTAAACCTTAAATAGATATAACACGTGATATTGATATAAACTGTTACTCAAGCAGCATCTTTCTCAAAAGAGGTGTGGCAGCATACAAATCGATGATGTCACCATAGTCTATCGACTGTAAAATATCACTTTTGACGTTGCTTGTTATCAGAGAGGAAAAGTGGTCTTGTCCCATCGTTGACCATAGCCGATTTTTTGCAATCCTCAGCTTTGAAAAAGCTCTTTCATAGTTTGTTGAATCTATTGGCAAAGTGACGAGAATCTTGTAAAGAAGGACCAGCTGTGGAAAGGCACTTTGCAGGTTGTACTTATCATCAACTAAAGATCTGAATGGAAGTTTTCTCTATTCAAAGCCTTGGCGAAACGATTCGATTTTTCGCTCGATCTTTCTCTCGACATTTGATCTCAAAATCGAGCGAAGTCGAGCATGGGTGGCCAAACGATTTGATCTTTCGCTAGATTTTTCAATCAACTTTTCACTCACGCCAACAAAATGAAGGCAAAGAAACGCAAATCGGCTGCCGTGTTTATCTTGCATGCAAATATCCTTTTACAATCTCTTAACGAACTCGAGCGACATAAGACCCTGTTCGTCTGTTTCATGCAGGAACCGCCATTAAATACTTATTTCGTTAAAATAAATTACTATTTTCAGGCAAAATTTTGTTTCTCATCATATAAAAAGGTCCCCTGGACCTCGAGGCCCAAGGGTAGTATGCTTCCCTGCCCAGCATAAGAGATGATAACTGCGCACGCGCTCACTCGACTCACTCGACAAGGTGGTCAAACGATTCGATTTTCATTTGACAACACCTTTTTCACTCGACTTTTTTGATAGCGATCAAACTTCACTCGACATCACTTGACGCCAATCGACTTGCTCGACAAGGTGGCCAAACGACTCGATTTTTCACTCGATTTCTTGTCGAGTAAAAAATCGAGTAAAAAATCGAGTGGTTTGGCCGGGGCTTAAATCAAGACTTTCTCCTGCAGCCGGCTGAGGGCTGCTCTTCTGTCTAACTTTCCTTAATTTGCGGTAATTATTGACGAAAGAGCTATACTCATCTCTTTATTTTTCGTCATCCAGGCCGTAATTCTTCGCAACCTTTTTGAATGACACTGCACACAACTGCCCTTCAATTGTTTTTTGAAAACATTCAGGGTTGAGCAAAGCAAAATCTGTCAAAATTGCCTTATGAGACGTGAATCTTGTATGCATTGAGCTGATAGCTGTATCTACTATCACGATGATATACGGATTCCCTATTTCCTTCTAATTCATCCATGCAATTTTCCCCTGGCATCTTTTTTTCTGCGTATTCTTCGCTCGACAAAATTTTGCTCTTCTAAGTCAAGGCGAAAACAATAATTTTTTGCGTCTTCTACAACACCAGTGAATTCATTTCGAAATGAACTGAGTTGAACTTAAACTGTCGGAAATGGAAGTTTATAAAATAACTGAGACCAGAGCGTTAATTTCCTTTACAAATTTCAGCAATGCGAAGATTCCGATGAATACTCTAATGAAAATAAGTAAGAAGGGTTGAGCATGCCATATGCGACCTTTTGGACAGGATCGATGAAAACCTTATATTTTGTCTAATATTTCAAATTTTCCGACAAACGTTGGATTTTCCGACTATCCGACAAAATTTTTGCCAGGGGAGCGCCTGCCCCCCCCCCCCCCCTAGCCCTCCCAGCCACTGTGCCCCTGCTGTTGAGGCTGTTTTGGTCAACCTCAACAGTCATGTGCTCGTGTTTCTGATTGGCCTATTTAGATCCACAACTGGGTATATATAGGAATGTATACCGAAAGATTCTGCCTGTTAGATCTCCCATAAGTCTTCTATAGTTGATATACTCAATACAGAGCCTCAAATATTATAAACCCCCAAGTTTAAGTATCTCAACTCACAGGAAATGTGATCCTAGACAAAGAAGTTCAGGCAGAACCCAAATTGAAATGTCAAATAATTCATCTACTGAGCAACATGTTTACACGCTCCTTTTAGTTATGTTAAAGGTTTTGTGTCTTAAAAATTCTGCAATTTGCCAACTGGTTTATACGAGAGAAGGTGCTGCATTATTAGGCTCTCTGAATAGCGGATACGAGGTTTTCTCTGTCCAATGAAAGAAGAGTTAGTAATGAAGGCAAATTTTTCTTACACCGGCAAATTTCCTTTTTGTTCCCTTCTTGCAAATTGAAGGTGAGGAGATCACATCAGCAAACGCGGTTATTCTTTCATAAATCTTACCAAGTCATAAACCCTGCTTGCCTTCCTACAACCGCTAATGTTTATTTGCATCTACCTTTAATCTTTATCAATTAAGGACGCAATCAGTTCAGTGCCTCTCTCATAGCTTTGCATGCCACGAGAACATAGCTTTGCAATAAGGAAAAAATTTAACAGATGTGTTTCTTGATTTTTCGCAAAGTTACGGTCGGCTACATCGTAAAGGGTGCCAAGAGCATAATATCTATAGTTTTGTAACTTCTCTTAGTTAAACTAATGCACTAATACTGAAAATTACTGTTTACCGGTCTGTCATAAAGTGTCGTATAGGCAGAGCTGTAACTGCTATTTGATGTATAGAAGAGGACGTTTCTAAGTTGCTACTCTGAGTATCACGCTTAATGCTCTCATCAGGCAACTTTTGAAACGAAACACATTGTCATTGTTTTTATATTTATTTGTTACATCCCTGGAGTTGTTAGCTACCCTCTTTGTGGTTGTTAATGCACTAACAGTACTCGATATCAATGTAAAAAATGATTTAGAAACATAACCGAAAAAATTAAATGATATGTCAAAAGGAAGCCAATTCTCAAGATGACATAGATCAACGGTCCAGATACGTCATACCAACTTTGATAAAAAGATCAAGGCTGTTATAAGTTGCTGTTCTAAGTTTCTCGTGTTTCGAGAAATCTACACTCTCATATCACAACATGGAGTGTTACATATAACTTTTAAGTATGAGAGTAAAATCAGCAATTGACGGTTTGTTCCATTTACAGCGGTTGCACCAGTATACAAATAACAGTAAAAAGGGGAATGTGACTTGTTAAATCCGTCTTATGTGAAAAGTGGCTTCTATAGAGTTCAGAAATAGCTAAAAGCAGTAATTGTAGAAAAGTAATTCTGTTTTGACAAGCTCTGCGATGCTCAAGAATAACTTCTACCAACTGCCATAAACCAAAGTAAGCACAATAACTGAAAATTTTTATCTGCACTTTGAACTGGTTCTTTCTTCATACTCTGAGGCTGCTCTTTTGCACTTTGAAGCTGTTCTTTCTGCATTTTGACATTCTGTCAATCTATCCTTCAAATTTTTGATCGAGCGATTAAATGATTTCTGAGAGAACATTTTTTTGCTTTTTTGCATCTTATGTACTTTTTCAAATACTATTAACTGAGTTTCAAGTTGGCAAGTTAAGAATACATGGCAGTTTACTTAAGCGCTCATGTGCTATCAAACTTCATCCAGAACATGGATGAGTATCCGGGGAACTTTTGCTATTATATTTCCAAACAAAGGTTGATAAGGTATGTTGGGGAATTGTTTAATTTAATTTTGCATGTAGAAAAACAAAAGAGTATTCTTGCTTATAATTTATGCTTTTAATCTTGCTTATAATTTATGCTTTTAACAATTGCAAGTTCCTGAAACATCTATCTTTTATACACTCATTTTTTTATAAGAAACAAAGGTCGATGTTGAGTGCTCCAGTTTCTTAATGTTCTGGAAATTTCAATACTCATTGTTTCTTAAAAGTTTCTTAATTATGTGGCATGAATGATGTTATGAAATGTTCGTGACCTTTTTTATCACGTCAAGAGATTCGCTTCCGTTCTGATGCTGTAGTTAGATGTGGGAAGTATATTTTTATCCTTTGTCTCTTAAGTTCTAGCCCAACAGGGCAATCTTGTTCTTGGACTTTACAAAATTTCGTTGTTCTCAGTTATATCAAGATTTAATAGTTTCTTAATTTTTTTTGCTTCGAGTACTGAAGTTTCTTAATTTTTCCTGACTGTCCAGTACTCGTTTCTTATAGCCAGTTTCTTATAAACAAATGAGTGTATGGCTGAAAGCAACAATACGGAAATGGAATTTTAGGCGGCTCCTTTTCACGTAAAATTTCTAGGTGTATCATCCATTAAGATGAGCAGAAAGCCAAGAAAAACGGCAGTCAGTATCCATATTGAAGGCCAATGAAAACAAACAAGACTTAGGTGCCAAATCAAAGCCTTGTTTTTATTGCATTTAGAAGAAAGTATACAGAGCACGAAGAAAGAAGGAAGGTATCACAAGGTTTGTCCGATGAAAGAGTGTTCTGCACTTTGAATTGGCAATTAAGAACTCGACTTGGAACACCTTTGACTTGGAATCATATCAATGCCTTTATATCATAGAGAATGATCCAATATGTAGATCGATATCAAGCAAAGATGTTAGTTATCAATTTTTGCATGAAAAATTGTTGAGTAATCAGCATAGTCCATGCTAAATTAACTTTTTCTCTCCGTCATTGCTCGATGTGTTACGGTGTTTTTTATTGTGAGCAACCTCTTTTGCAACAGTGCTTTGTTTTTTATCAAAAATGCAAAAATATCTCACATTTGATAATTACTGTCCCAGCACTGACAGCTGCACAAAATATTGATTCTTGGAAGCTGTTTCACTTCACAGGTCCAAAATAGATTCAATTAATATTTGAAATCATGAATGGAAAACTGCTTTAGCTTATTAGAAAAACGGCAAAAAAGTTTTCATATAGCTTCATTGCGAAATTCCCTGAAATTACAGATGGCTCTAGGTAACATGTTTAATTCAGAAGTTTGAGAGACTTTAATATCATTATTGATATAACTATTTTAATTATTTTGACATAATTTTAATATCTAAATATTTTATAATTTTTGAAACCAAATGAATATTTTAAAAAATATTTTAATTATTGAACATTATTGAATTATTGAATATCTATAATATGATAATTTTGCTTGTCTTATGAAACAAGAAATTCAATGTATACCTTATGGAAAAATTTTTCGAATTTTATGCATCAAAAAGCTTGTAATTATTGATCAAAATAACAGTTCAGTCCGTAAGTGATAAATTCAATATCTTTGGAATATTAGAAGATGACGGGAAAATAGCTAAAGCTAAATATTTGGGTATTTAAATCGCAATTTTTTCTAATTTCAATTATCCGCATCGTAACAAGCAATCTAAGAGAAGTTTAGGCAATAGCAGCAAAGTATATGGTAACGGAAATACTGGTCTTTTAGATTTTAATTACTCTGATATATTTTGCTTAGATATCTCTTGATACTCAAGAAACCCATTATTAAGGTTATGATACATAATTTGATTTTTAGAAGCCAACAGGATCGTTCCGAAATCTTATAAACTTTTGCTTTACGATACATTGGTCCTTTTGAAGCTCGAGAGCTAACATCAATGTATGAAATTAAATCATAAATTCGAAGGAAATAAAGGAAAACAAGTGTTTATAGCACACTGCACCAAACGTCTCAAATTTTGAGCATATATTAAGAAGCATATATTTAAAAAAATCAGAATTTTAAATCAATTCTTCTTAAAAATGGAAACAAAATTGTTAACTGCCATTCAATATAAATGGATAAATTGCTTCGAAATGTTCAATCTCAAATTTAAGTGTCTATGAATTTACCTAATCTTGTATTTCTCGATCGCACTCATGTGTCCTATTCCGTTCCAAACTCTATGCAGCTTTAAAACCAGAAAATTTGAGTCATCTGGGCAAATTTCGAAAATACATGCAAAGTTCGGCAAAATCACTATTACCATGGTGCAAATGGGAAGCTCAAAGTCAATATTGACAATCTACCTTGCAAAATTCATACAAACCAACAAACAAAAATTATACGGGCAATGCCAGTCAGAAAACACTAAGTGGAGCCCTAAACAATAGAAAACGTGTTGTGACGTCACAACTTTATATAAAGTGATACGAAGAACGGTCTCATAGCAAAGGCGCTGGAAGCTTCATGAAACAGATCGGGAATTGTCGTCTTGCCAATGACGAAGCCTGGTTTTAAGTGAAGGGCCTTTCAAGGAAGAGAGGGTCAGTGTTCTGGGGGTGTAGCCCCTAGGGAAATTTGGCGTTGCTACGCCCTAAAGACTCTCGGAATTGAAGGCCACAGCTATAAAAATACATTTGAATCAAGACTACAGTCAAACTTCATTCTTGAAATTTCTTTTTTAATCTCAACATCAACCATCAAGGGATCTTATGAGTAATTTCTTAACCTTCATGTGTATTCAATATTTCATAGTACAGTATTTCATCCTATAAAAACCGCGTTCATTAGATTGACTTTCATTAAGAAATTTCTGACAACCATACTTCTGCCCTTGGTATTCAGCTGATAAAGCCGTTGATATCTTTTCATTGGAACATACTCTGTCTATATATTCTTTATGTGGACTTTTCATGTGGGTTCTACTTCTCCTTCGCCTTCTTCGCAACATCGTTCAATGTCCGTAAACCTTAATAGAATATAACCCTATTCCATCGCTTGTTTTTCCGACTGCTTTTTTCCATTATAGCCCTTTCTTTGCCATTTTCAAGCTGCATTTCACTATTTTTTTAGTCCAACATGTCCCAATTAAAAAGCAATATATTTCTAAGCAGTTCCTAGAGGAATCTGGAGTAGGTCTTTCGCCGTTTTGCTAAATCAAAATAAAACAATTTGAAATAGAGAAGCTTCCTTTTCTTTACCAAAAACACACTAATATAATTATCTTAAACCTTGAATACTTTTTCAATTCGGTTGTTGATGATAGCTTAAGGTTATGGAAATGGAGTATGCCATATTTGCAAAGTCTTTCTAACCTGTTACTAAGAAAATAAGCTTCTGGACGTTGCAAGTGTAAGAGTTTTTAAAAGATGCTTCCTCTGTTTGCTGCATTTTTCACGTTGTAAAATAATACAAATTTGCATAGTATTTCACAATGTGCGAGCATTTACTGAAGCTCAATCTGTTTAGAAATGTTAAGTTCCAGCTTTTATTTCGAGAAGGCAGAAAAAAGAGCGATTAGGAAAAAGCAACCGCATTTTGCATGTTTGTTGTGGATTAACATTTTCATCAAAGATGCAGAGAATCTTGGCAAAGTATAGGTTAGCAACATCTGTTCAGTCATTGTACTCATGCAGTCAATTCACAAGAACGAAAAACAAGTATCACAGACATATTTATGTATATCGGTCATTTCTTTTTTGAAAATCTAAATTTCTTGATCAATTCAATACAATTGCCACATTGGATCCAGATTTCCTTGAAGGAACAACCATCGTTTAATTTCACACACAATTTCAGAACAAGAATATAATTCGCTATTGGCACTACAAGGTTTACAAGGAAGAAATATAGCCGATATTTTCACAACCATAGCTGAAAAGCAACAGAGCAAGGGGATTCATGCTTTTAGCAAAGTTTTAGAGTAACCCCTCTGGCTTTCGATAATTGATTCCTAAAATGATACAAATAGGACTTTTCTACACATGCCAGTCCTTATTGAATACTCAGGGTGATCATATGAGAAAGGAGAAATCATGAACTCAGATTTCGATCGCGTTTTTCTATTTTCCTTGTCGTGATTATTTGGAAAATAAAAAACGGGCAAAACCAACAAAAATCTTTTTGAAATCACCATATAAAAGAGCTAAATATATATCGTATCTTGGGGAACAATTTTACGTTCATGCTTTCAATAACGGGAGCTTGAAACAGCGCATCCTGAGGTATAATCCATCATGAACTTGGCTGGAATATACACACAATAAAAGGACTTGCTTTTCTTTACAAAAATAGGATTGGTCTCATTTCTGACATCAATGGCAATGCTGGTATACATATACTAACTCAATCGCGATTTATTCCATTATGCGATTCGTCGCCAAACTCGCAGTAGTAACTTGGAACCATCCTGTTCTATACACCGAATAGCATGTATCGTAAATCCTGGAATTGGCCCTCCCTCCTCGAAAAAGCCCCCCCCCCAACTTCGAATTAGCGCACACCCTAGAACTACAAATTGTCAATAAGTGCCCCCCACCCCTCGAATAAGCTCCCACTGCTTCCATAAATCCTCAAATTGGCTCCCCTTGATTTGTTAATTGTTGCCAAGCTGTAGATATATACTCATCAGCTTCTACACTATGCAACTTCAAAAAAGCTCTTGTAAATCCTGAACAACAATGCCTGCCAAAAGTCTTGGAACACTGACATCAATTTCCAAGGTCAAAACCAATCATCCCCCTCTCTCCCACGGAACAATGTTGGTTTACTATCAAACGGACTAGGATTTTAGGAAGCACTTTCTTTTGCGCTTCTTTTATGATATTTCTCTAAATCATCAACATTGTTTGAGGGGGAAGGGGGCGGAAGTAGCAAATTTTTTCATGAAAGGAATGAAAGATATCAAATGCAGCGTAAATTGGTGGGTGTTCCAAGTACTTTTGGCAGGCATTGTCTGAATTTCATTTTGAAGCTTATTAGATATTCCACCAAAACCAATATCCTCCTATAGGTTTTTGATGGTGCTGATTCCATTTCTGCCATTTTCAACATCGTACGTGTTACCGATAAGGAGATATGGGGGTATTGTCTCTTTTCGGGGGTGGGGGTAAGCTACCCCCATAAAACTAAATGCCATATTTCAATTAAGGTGAAAATTGCTAAAATCAAAATCGATTTCCAATAAATAAGATCAAGATTGTATTTTGAATCTTTTCAAAGGCTCGTAGCCAGATGGCTGTCTAAGAAATAATGGGATAGATGAAGGAGACAAATATGAGTGGCAGCTAGAAAATAATCTAAAAATGGAAAGGATGCAATTTTATAAAAGTGACATCGATTCCTCTGTTTCATGTTTCTAATTATAGATAAGGTCGTATTTGAGAATTATGTCGGGTAGTTGCTCTCCTTTTATCACGGATTTACAAGTTGTTATTCATATAGGCCCTTGTTGTGCAATTCAGTGCCCAAATGACAAATTTCAGAGTGTTTACCTAAATTGTAGAAAGGAACCCCGTGTTTCCCACATCAGAGTTCCCAACTGATTGATCTACTATTCCATGTTGGTTGGTAAGGGAACTGAAATAAAACTGACATCCACTCGCCTTCCTGCCCTCCTAAATGCTTGGCCCAGAAGCACTACAAAGAAAGCCCTCTTCCCTACTGTTACTGCATTGCCAAAATGGCCTTTAAGTTAGACTCTACCTGCTACTTTTGTCTTCATAAAGCGCAAGGCAGATTATTTCATCGTTAATTGATTGCTGTATTTGTTTGCGTGACATTTGCCACAACAAAATATATTATTTCATCGAATGTAGCGCGCGTCGATGTGAAGGACAAGGCCCCGCAAGGCAACTCTCACCCTCGGAAATGAACGCTTGTAGACCGTTGTGTAGACCGTGGCTGTTTCTTCGCAGTTTTCTGACTTGTCAGGGGGATGTTTGCCCCCAAATTCACCCAAAAGGTGTATAATAATACCCCTCAAAGATAAAATTAACCTTTGTATGAATTCCATGAAGAAAACGGCAAAATATGACGAAAATCCCACGGTCTACACTCAAAAGGAGAATAAGATCTAGAGTACTTCAAATTCAATTCTCAGAAAGTGTAGACCGTTGACACTTTCCTGAATTTCTTCAGTTTTACAACTTGTATCGATCTGAAAACCTACAATATTTTTTATACCAGCCATGCACACCTACTGACGAGGTTTCGTCTACTTTCTTTGAAAAATACGATTTTAATGAACATTTTAAATGTGTAGACCGTGGCTGTAGACCGTTGGTAACCATTGGCAATAGGCATTTTCATACTACATCACGTGCCCATTAGGAAAGGAGCGTTCTTTCAATTCCTAGCATACTTTAACAATGGAAAACGAACAATTATAATTGGCACAAACCATTTTCCAATTACTGGGACAAGGGAAGATAGAAAATAATAGGGAATGGGGTGTCTATGAGCGCTACCATGTTGCCACATGTGAATGCGAAGGAGCATAGCCTAAGCAAATTTATTAAATTCGTAGATGGTTTTGGGAGGGTTATGGTGGATAAAATTGAGCCATTTGAACAGTTTCTCACCAGCATGTTGTTTGCAATTATTTATATCATGCATGGTTTGTAGACATTCTCATGAATTTTCTTGTTTTTTCATCAACAATTAAACCATAAATAAGGGGACTTTTCAGCAAAAAAACACTTTTTCAAAAGCACTAAACTACACTGTTTTTCCTTTGAAAATTGATAGTTTTCTTAAACCGATGATCGAATTCTGCACAAAATACTTGTATTCAATAATGATTTAAATGATATTGACGGAAAAAATCAGTAGAATGTTTTTTGTAACAAATAACAATACTCGGATATCTACTATATCAATCGTTCAGAGTCCAAGCCCCCTCCCCCCCTTTTAACTGGGTAAAGAGTGAAAATTTCGAATTTTCATTAGTAGCAGTGAGATTAGCACCATCGAAAACCCTAGGGTAGCACAATGTTTTGATATCGCAGATTGCTGTTTTCGAGAAAATTTTCAGACAATGCCTGCCAAAAGTCTTGGAACACTGACATCAATTTCCAAGGTCAAAACCAATCATCCCCCTCTCCCCCACGGAACAATGTTGGTTTACTATCAAACGGACTAGGATTTTAGAAGGCACTTTCTTTTGCGCTTCTTTTATGATATTTCTCTAAATCATCAACATTGTTTGAGGGGGAAGGGGGCGGAAGTAGCAAATTTTTTTCATGAAAGGAATGAAAGATATCAAATGCAGCGTAAATTGGTGGGTGTTCCAAGTACTTTTGGCAGGCATTGAAGTATCAAAAACAGGCGTCTTATCGATTTACTTAACAGAGAATACTTGTAAAATTCCAGTTCTAGTTTTGCTATTGATCGTCGAATTTCGCTCTACCTGAGGCGACCAGAACTCAAAAGACTGGGGTTTTCGTGCTGTGGTAAAAAGATACGAGGGCTGAGTATTTTCGAAATGAAGCAGAAAACATTTTAGTAGCATCGATAGGAAACTCGTGGTACGATCTGCGAGTTGCCCTGTAAGGAAGTTTCTACGCAATTTTTATAACATTCGTTTCGTATGCAATGCAAGTTTTTTTCTATGTATATACTCTTTGAAGCTGTGTCCGGCCGTTTTTTTATGAAAATCCTACACGCAAATCGACCCCTTTTGCTTGAAAATTCTACATATAATAATTTATAATTTGCATTCGATTTGAGTTTCGTGGAGATGTGATACCAATAATAAAGTTAAATCTGAATTTGTAAACATTGCTGTATTTTCAAGTTGCAATATGCCTTAAAAATGCGCTTTGTTTGGCTGCAATTTACTGCTCCTTTTTTCTTTCAGTATTGTTATAAGGCTTGTCAATCGCCTTTGTCTTGCAGAAAGTTGTTTGCTATTCAATTGATAAATTTGATAAATGTTTATCCTGTCTAAAAGCATACCCGAGGAAAAACTAGGCACACTTTAACACACAATGATAAATTTATTAACTCTGGCTGAAAATTCAATTAAGTCTCACCTTTATTGCTCAGTTGACGGTCTACTTTCTGCTGTCAATGGTGCTTCAGTACAACGCTAGTTCAAATGCATTGCAGATATCTTGATGATCAGCTATATTGATGCCTTAGGAAAGTCAAGTCTCGTGCATGTCATGTGTCTTCGCTCCCACACAAGAAACTGAACTTTTAGAGCTTAACATAGCTTGAGCTTCAATGTATTACCAGCCTGTTAATTTTTAATGAGAGAGCTCTGAAAACCAATGCCTGCTTAATAGAGAGCCACAAGATTTCGCACTGCGAATGGTCGTTGCAGC